AACAAAAATATGCAGAAGAAAATAAACAACTAGATAAATAATGAAAGGGGCCTTATAATTATGTTATAGCATGTTTTTCTTTCTAACCATTTTTACACATGTCGAAAAGAAGAGAAAACGCAGTAATCACATCTTATTATATCATGTGTATGTATGTGTTGAATGAACGTATCAAATCAATAGCTATAGGCTCACTTGTAAAATAGAAACCTATTTTTTCTGCATTCAGTATAGGGGGGGCTTATAATTATGTTACACCCTGTATATTAAAGTATTTCTTTGAATCTTATCCATCAATATTTCAGATTTAAAAATAAATAAATTTAATCAACAAATGGAACGAACAGAAATAAATGCAGGTTCAACAGAGGGTGAACCAGCTGTTCGTGATCATAATGGTACAATTACTGTTAGTAATGATGATCCTGCGATTGTTAATAATAATGAATTGGTTATTCTCGGTACAAATAAAAAAAAAATAATAATAATAATAATAACAAATCACGTATTTCTGATACCAATGAACCAGTGATTATTGGTAATAGATTTAAAAATTTAAAAAACAATCTTCCTATTTTCAGAAAAAGGTGTTAAAGGTACGGTTGTTACTGTAAACCGAATAAAACATTATTCATTTATCAAACGGTAAAAATTAACTAGCCTTTATGTTTCATATTTTATTTTTTTTCGTATATTTCATGTATTATTTAGTAAAGACAAAATACAATCTCAGGATATATTTGCTCGTGAAGCATCAATTATAAATGAATCAAATCAAAGGAAATTTTTTATATCCGATACGTGTAAATTTGATTTAATAAAAAGTAAGTTATTTTACTTTAATCATAAAATAAATAATACGTCGTTGGTCTCTAGCACAACGTGGTCTAGAAGCTGTCAATATAAACATCATTGAACGAAATATAAACAGCATATCAAAGTTACCTAAAATTCCTAAAAAAAAAGAAAACGAGGAAACACAAATTTCAACAGAATTTTTTAAACAAACAATGTATGATACTTAATCTAGCTTTTTTATTTAATCTAAATTAAACTATATTTCCTTTTAGTACGGAATTATTCCGTGAAGCCTTAAACAAGAAAAAATAGGTCAACATCACTTATATTCGTCATTTGATTTTAAAAAAACATTTATTTTACATACATTAATCACTAATGAAAAAAAAATTCTAAAATAACATGTTTTAATAAACAAGAAATTGTTTATATAGAACATCTCTTGTATTAAACAAATAAAACATTTTTTTTCTTATAAATACCTACTTAATACCATCATTTAGATTTCTTTAAAACCACTAAATAATTTCTCAATCATTAATATAACACCTATATTTCAATCATTTGTTCTTTTTTTAAAATTCATATTTAATTCGCATATTGAACTAAGTAAAAGACAATCTATAAAATGAAATTAAATGATAATTCAATCTGATATATATTTCCATTTCTAAATAAAACTGTTTGCGTTATGAAAATCACACTCATTATTAAATAATAAACTTATATTTGCATCAATGGTGTATTAATATCCATTACATATCCTCTCTCATCTATATATATCTCAAAGATTTTCAACAGAATTAGAATTTCTTCGCATCACATTTCGCACATGTGCTCTTCTCATCTGCCATCTATTTCATCTTAAATTATTTTATTTCACGTTTTAGATTTTAATTATCATAATTATTTTCAAACAGTTAAAACAAATATAAATTGAATTTTTTTCACATAATTAATAAGAACATCAATTTCATTTTTCATTCAAACAACTAAAAAAATATAAATTAAATTTTTATTTAAGGAAGGTTGTCACTTTTTTGACTTTCTAAAGTTTCTTACTTAGTATCGAGTATCTTCACCTAGTTTTAACGAAAATTTAACTCGAAAGAAAATTTTCTACTATTTATCTCAACAAGTTCAGAGATATACACGTTTTTTTCTCACTAAGTACAAGCCGTACTTGGTGCATATATATGTGTTTAAATTGAATGAGAAGCTGTGATTATTTAAGTTTTTAACGGCTAAGTTAATCGCATCTTATTTCATTATCTACAGTTCAAAAAAGGTCAGTCGCATCAAAAGTAAAATCACGAAAAGAAGCCTACAAACGGAAATTAGCTATTTTAATTTATTCATTCGAACAAATCAGTAGATTTATTGTTTCACTTTATTACTTATAATAGCAATCGGTAGATCTACTATTTAGAATTGTCAATTCGAAAAGATTAATGGATTTGTTCTCATCATTTAAGAGAACAAATAGTATATTTATTATTCAACTTGTTAAACTTGTAGGTTTTTGAACTAGTTTAAAAAAATGCCGAAGGTAAAAAGAAGATCTGTATCTCAAAGAAATGCCGAAATGGCAAAGATAATGAGAGAAAGAAGAACGGATGATGAGTTTCGCTTGTCTGGCAATAGAAAACGAGCAAATTCTCTTAAAATCGAACGAGAAAATGATGAATTTAAGTTTCAAGAAAATAAAAGAAGAGCTGAAGCTCTCAAGAATGAAAGATTGAATGATGAATTCAGATTGCAAGAAAATAAAAGACGAGCCGAAGCTCTGAAAATTGCACGACAGGATGAGGAATTCAAAGAAGAAGAGAGAAGAAGAAATGCACTAAGAATGCACAATAGTAGAGATAAATACAAAAATAATTTTGATATCATAAAATTAAATTATGAGTCAAAAATAAAAGAGGGTCCAACTCATATTTGCAGTTGTTGTGGTGGTCTCTGGTTTGAGTCTTCAATCAGAGAATTCACAATTGAGATGTTAGCAAACAAAGGATTAAAAAAAGATTTTATTGACAGTTTTTTATCTCAAAAATACAACCATTAAATTATGTGTCACTTGTAGAAAGGACATCATGCTGAATAAAGTACCTAATCTTTGTCTATCTAATGGTTTAGCATTCTATGAAGTACCGGATTGCTTGAAAATCTTGACTGAATTAGAAGAAAGATTAATATCACCAAGAATTCCTTTTATGGTGATTCGAACGTTAGGCTTCTGTAAACAGTTTGGTCTCAAAGGTAATCTGGTCAATGTTCCGATGAATGTTGACACAAATGTTTCGGTCTTACCGAGAAAGTTTAGAGATACCCATACAATCCAACTAAAACTCATGAGACAAATGAAAAATAAAAACGCCTTTATGTATGAAACAATTCGACCAAAAGTTGTACATACAGCTGTTAAATATCTTGTCGGACAGGAACTATATAAAGGCGAAGGTATCATTATATCCGATGATTGGTTGAATGAGTATTCTAGTGAACGAGAAAATTTCATTGTTAAAGATGAAGATAAAAAAATTGATGCGAATGAAAACATGAAGGAATCAGAATTTGATGATAATGATGCCAATTGGAATGAATCCGATGATAAACCAATCAATCCAGCAGCTACCGAAACATTATTAAATGATGAGATTGAAGATCAGAATGATATCGGTATTAAATTTGCTCCAGCAGAGAATAATAGACCAATATCAATATTGATGGATATGAAAGTTGATGAATTAACATTTCCAAAAATTTACTGTGGTAAACAAAGAAAAATCAAAGAAAATGTTAGATTGACTTACGCTAAAATTGCTAAGTCAGAATTAAGAATGTTCGATCGAAGATGTGGTAGAATATCGAAACTATTTTTTACCTATAAGAAATTGCAAACGAGAAAGTTTTCAGATGCTATTTCAATAACTCTAAGAAAAACAAAAAATGTAACTGTTGCACAAATGCTCAAGCGAGATTATGTCAATGGATTAATACATAATGATGACGCTTTCACATTCTTGAGATGTGATCGATCATCACCAGCATTCTGGGAACTGAAAAAAAAGGAACTTATGGCCATGAACAGGCAATTAGGTTGTGCTACAATCTTTTTGACTTTATCAGCAGCAGAAGCAAAGTGGTCAGAACTTATTGTAATATTGACTAACGTGTTGGGAAATAAAGTCATAACATTAGAAGAAGCAGAGAATATGAACTACGAAAAGAAGTGTGATTTGATAAGAAAAGATCCTGTAACATGTGTTCGTTATTTTGAACATAGAGTAAAATGTTTATGGGAAATATTATCAGCTCCTTCTGGTCCATTTCAAGGCTACGAACTAGAAGACAAATATGTCAGAATTGAATTTCAAGCTCGTGGTTCACCACATGTTCATGCCTTGATATGGTTAAAAAATGCTCCAAAATACGACAAAAATAAACCTGAATCAATTAAAGAATGTATAAAATTTATTGATAAACTGACTTCAGTTAGTTCGAAACCAACACAATTTTCTGAAGAACTTATAAGTTTGCAACGTCATAAACATTCACATACCTGTAAAAAATATGTGAACGGTTGTATTAAATGTCGCTTTGGTATTCCATATTTTCCGATGAGAGAAACTATGATTTTGGAACCATTTAGTGAGGACGAAAAGTTAACTAAAAAAGAACGTGAAGAAATAAGTAAAAAGAAGGAGAACGTAATGAAAGAACTTGAAAAAATATCAAAAGATATCGATAATTCATTACCTTTTGATGAATTCTTGGAACATATTAATATAAATGAAAAAGAATATATTAAAATGATCCGAGCTGACTTAAAAAAAGCAAAGGTCTTCTTAAAACGTGCTCCAAATGAAATCTGAATCAATGCATACAATCCACAAATAATGTCATTACACAGAGCAAATATGGACATTCAGTTCATTCTTGATCCTTATGCATGCTTAAAGTACTGTGTTGAATACATCAATAAATCTGAAAATGGCATGTCTAAACTTCTACGAGAAGCATTGAACGAGTTAAAAAAAGGCAATAACACAGTCAGAGAACGTCTTAGAGTTATTGCAAATAAATTTTTGAATTGAAGTGAAATTTCTGCACAAGAAGCTGTTTATCATATTTTAAGTATTCCACTTTCCATCAGTAGCAGAAGTACTGTTTTTATTAATACAAACAGACCTGAAAATAGAATTTCTATGCTCAAATCAGATGAAATTCTTCAAAATTTGGAGCCTGATTCAAAAGATGTGTTTGTTGAGGGCTTGATTGAGATGTATGTTAATAGACCTGACGAAATGAAAAATGTTTGTCTGGCTGATTTTGCTTCGATGTATAATATTTCAAAGAAAAAAAGCAGATAATGATCGAATTATGAAAAATTCTGATGACGAAGATATCACCGAAAATGAAAGTGATAATAAAACTGCTCCTATGAAAATGAAAGATGGTAAGGGTTGGATTAAAAAAAGAACAAAGAAAAAAATCATAAGATACAGATACTTTAAACTACATCAAGATCCTGAAAACTATTATAGAGAGCAGCTAATACTATTTCTACCATGGACTAATGAAGAAGAAAATCTTATTCATATAAACCATGAAGAGAGATTTGAATTGTATAAAGATATAATTCAACAAAAAAGATCTGAATATATTCATCGTGAAGCTAATGAATTCGAACAAGCTTCAGAAGAACATATGGAAAAAAAAGAAGATGAAGATGATATTGATGATACAAATATTGAATACGATCAAGATAAAAATGAATTTCTCATTTATGAAATAGGAAATACTGGAGGTGATATTTTTGTTGAAATGGGAATAAATACTCGAACTGAAAAAGTCGAACACTTTAATGTTCCCAAAATAATACCAGACACAGAATATCAACAAATGATGAGAAATCTTAATAATAATCAAAGGAAATATACTCTAAACGTAATGAATTTGATTAAAAATGGTGAAAATCAATTTTTTCATTTCATCAATGGAGGTGCAGGTGTTGGCAAAAGCACTCTAATCAAAGCAGTGTATCAATCAATACTAAGATTTTATAATTCACTTCCAGGATATTATCCAGATAGTATTCGGGCTGCACTATGTGCACCAACTGGCAAAGCAGCGGCATTAATTGATGGAATGACTTTGCATTCATTTTTAAGTTTACCAATAAATCAATGCAAACATAAGCTTGTTCAACTAAATAGCGATGTTTCGAATAGAATTGGAGTCAAACTAAAAGACTTACAATTATTAATAATAGACGAAATATCAATGGTTGGTTTTACAATGTTTCAACAAGTCGATGCACGTTTGCAGCAAATAATGAGAACAAAGAAACCATTTGGTGGAATATCAGTCATAGTTTCAGGCGATTTCAATCAATTAAGACCAGTTGGTGATAAATACATATTCCAGTTTAATAATTCATATAATGCTTTAGCAGATAGTCCATTATGGTCATTATTTGAATTGTTTGAATTAACAGAAATTATGAGACAAAAGGATGATAAGACTTTTGCCATTGCATTAAGTAGCATAGCTAAAGGAACAATGACAGATGAAGATATTCATCTGTTAAAGTCACGAATTGTTTCAACTGAAAATTTGGAAACGATTGAAGATGCCATAAGGATATTCAGAAGCAATGCTGAAGTTGATGCATACAATACAAAAGTATTGGCTAATCTTAATACTGAAGGTGCAACTGCCAATGCATATGACTTTTGTATTGGTGATGGACTTGCATCATTAAAAGAAAAAGTGTTGAACAACGTAAAGAATCTCAAAACAACTGAAACTTATGGCTTACCACTTAAAATCGATTTGAAAGTGGGCGCTAAGTATATGTTGACAGTCAATTCTGATACTGAAGATGGATTAGTCAATGGTGCTTGTGGAAATTTAGTAATGATTGATTACGGAAAACTTCAAAAAACTAATGAAATAGTACCATGTGGAATATGGATTAAATTCAATGAAGAAAAAAATGGAAGAAAAGCTAGAGCCAATTTTCACAATGTAATGCGTAATAGAAATATTGATTCTAGTCTTACACCAATCAAACCAGTAATACGTCAAATAAATACGAAGTCAACAAACTTCAAAGTAGAACGGAAGCAGTTTCCAATAGTACCTTGTGAAGCTATGACCATATACAAAAGTCAAGGCGGTACTTACGAGAAGGTTGTTGTCAATTTGAAGAAGGGAATGACAGGATCTGAATTATATGTTGCTTGTAGTCGTGCAACAAAAGCAAGTGGTTTATACTTAATTGGAGACTTCGTTCCACCAAAAACACCTGAACGTAATGATGCAGTGACGTTGATGTTCAAAACTATGAGATCCGAACGAATGCTGAAATTTTCGCTTGCATTTCCTGAAGAATCTGAAGAGAAAACATTTTCCATTATCTTTCATAATGTACAATCATTGAATAAGCATATTTCAGATGTTAAATTTGGCAAAACATTTTTGTCTTCTTCCATGATAAGTCTTGTTGAAACATGGACAAAGCCAAGTGATAACTTAGAAATTGAAGGTTTTAAGATAGTTCACAGACGTGATTGTCATGATGTACGAAAACCATTCGGTCAAATCATTTATTTAAAAAATGATTTAAAATTCGAAAATATCACCGAAAGATATGAATATTCAGGCAAAGATCATATTGAATATTCTTCGATAAAAGTTGATGATATTTGTATAATTTCCGTTTATAATTCACCAAATTCATCATTCAATGTTCTAAGACGACATATGAATGAAGTTATAACTATTTCAAAAAGATTTTCTGATAATATAATTGTCGTTGGTGATTTTAATATAAACTTGAAGATTAAAATCAATAACAAATCTATTGAATATACGAGATCATTTGGACTTAGTTTGAATAATACACTAAATAAAGATTCAACTAATGCAAAAACACAAATTGACTATTGTTTTACTAATATGAAAGACGTAAAGTCTGATTATTTTGAAAGTCTTACAAGTTTTCACAAACCAATATGGATAAGAAAACATAAAGTTTTGAGTAAGTCTCATTTTCATGAAATTAAAAACATTCATACAAATGTAACTTCTAATATCAATGATGAAGTTATGCTTGATGACCAATTTGACACGATGGATATCGACGACAAATTTGTTTTTGAAAGTCATGAAACAGTCGATAAGAATGAACAAATTGACTTAGATATGTCCTTCCAATTAGAAGATCTCAAAGTGAATGATTCATTTGATACGATGGAAACTGAAGAAAAATATTTTCCCACAAACTATGAAATCATTGATTCTGACTCAAGGAAGCTTCTTGATCATTTTCTCCTTCTACTTGAGTTTGATAATGCTGCAGGGACTACCCAAATTTCAAGTCAAGCTCGAAGAATCGATGATTTAATTGAAAAGTCACCATTTATAACTGCGTATAACAAAGATCGATCTGTTAAAATCAGACCGAAAATAGAATATTCTGTTGAAGCATTTGATGCATTTTACGCACGAACTCATACAACTGGAGATGGAAATTGCTTGTACAATTCTTTATCAATAATTAAAATTGGATCTGAAGAACTAACACACTCAATGAGATTATTGGCAGTCAATGTTATGATTAATAATAGTAATCATTTAAAAACCATTTGCCGTTTATTGAACTATTCATTTGAAGAACAGCTAAGGAGAACTGCCACAAACGAACAATGGGGTGGAGAAGTTCAAATTCATGCACTTTCTATAGCGTTACGTCAGCCAATTTATTCTTATGTTAAATTTTTCGATGATCCAAAACGTGTACACTATATTCCATCTGATATCAGTACACAAGATTTGATTAACAGATTTGATGATGGAACTGCAGGAGGTCATCTCAAATATATTGGGTATAAGTCCGATATGAATAAATCAAGTTTATGTATTCACTTTACTGGTATTCATTACGATGCTCTCTTGCCATGTTCAAATAATCCCCATCAATTCATACCAAAAAATGATATAATTGATATGAGTTTGTGAAAAAGAAAAAAAGAACTAGATTTAATTTAAAAAATAAGTTATATTTATATAAACAAGTAAAGTCTCTGGAACTAACTCCTCACCAGGTCCTATGGGACAAAAAGAGGGCATCCGCAGGGCCTAAGGGGCAGTTCCTTAGTGCGCTCAAGGATGATTTTTTTCGAACCATCAAAACCAATCTGTCGTTAGGTACACTTTTTGAAGTACACATAACACTCGGATTTCAATCCGAGGTTTCCGCATTTATTTTTGATAAGAAACGCACTTCTTTCGCAGAAAAACGTTTCAAGGAAAAAATCTACTTAAACTTAAATTACTTTGTTTGTAATGATTTCTTAATTATGAAACATTATAAATTCACTAAACTTCTTCTGTATTTAGTAACAATGATCAATTTAAGTTTACATAAATGTAAATATTAATTTTAGCAACGCTTAAATTTGACATAAACTTTAGTTTCTAAATAATCTTTAACTGTAAAAAAAAGAAAATCTAAATGGCAAATGCCAATGTTTAGATTTGTGACTGAATGCAAACCAGGTCCGGAAGGACTCGTAATTCCCTGCATTGGCATACTCACTTAAGTCGAAAGTTCAAACATCTACACTAGGCATAAAGAAGTATAAGTAGTTTCGAAAAACGTGTCACAAATCCGCCTCATGATTTTGTTTACATATTAAAAACCACTCAACGTGCGAATTACATTTTTAAACTTTAAATCTAAATAATGCACTTACCATAATTAACATGATCTTCTAGAAAATGTTCGCAATCATGGAAAACTCGAATATTGTCCTTATTCACTTTCGTGAACATTTCATATTCAAATTTTTCATGTCGACATGAGCAAGTTCGGTTTTGGTTTTTGCACTTGTAATAAAATGATTCCATTGTTCAGATGAACAATTTGAGAATTTCTTTTTCTAGGACAAATAAAAAAAAATCAATACTGTAATTGTTAATCGAGTGTTTGCTAACTTACTTGATAAGCGACGACTTATCTAATTTCGATTAAGAAAAAAGAGAAATTTTCTTTCTAATCGTCTTTTAGTTTCGAATATTGACGATAAATAACAATGATTATGAGTGAAACAAAACCATCTCACATAATTGACCAACAAGACAATCAATGAGAAATAAATGCAAATAGTAAGGTGCAGACCAGACAAACATGAATGTTACTGATTCATCTCTTTTTACACCAATCAGCTCGTATTCCATGTCATACTACTTACTTTTTTTCTTCTCCGTTCCGTTGTCGTTCAACTTCAACTATATTTCATAGTGGCATGATACATTTTTCTTATTTTCCACACTAATTTACTTTGTCGAAAAGATTTAGATCTTTGAAAATTTTTCTTAACTTTAGATACCAGAGTTTGTTTGAACCGATTCAGATGCTGGTTTCCATGAATAAAATGTTTTATTGTAATTTTACCAAGATATTAGAAAGAATATAAAAACGAACCTTTTTTTATTTCGAATTAATACTGACTAAAACAAGCTTTTCTCTTCATATTTAGATTGATGATCTGTTTGGGTTCAGATTTAAAATATTGAGAAATATTAGTAATCATTTGTCAAGTTTTGTCTTGGGAGAAAGAACTTATTTTTCATGAATAAACCAACGCACTAAACTGCAAGCGTCTACATTCTTTTTCAGTCAATCTTAAAGGGAACGGAGCAACGATCTAATTCTGAATAATTGAGCGCTCGCCGTAAATTTATTTAACATACAATGGACGTTGAGCGTCTTTTTATTTTGTGACCATAAAAAAGAGTCGTTGCTTTTTAATATAAAAATATAGAAACGATCTGGCTTAATTTTTCTCTCATATGAAACTTTTATTCATTATGTCGATAATAATTATGTCAAACACATATTACACCTTATCTTCTTTTTCACTAATACAATAAAAAAAATATGTGAAGCGTACTTTTATCAAATGATATTAGTGCACACATTTGACTTCAAATCATGGCACAACATAAAAGTTGAAACTATATCTACCGTACACAATACGAAGTACGTAATTAACAAGAAGAGCACAATCTGACTCGAAGGGTGATGTCCCTCAAATTATCTATTCTGGAATTCGCATGAAATTATTTCTTTCAATCAATATTAATGCAATTTTGAAAGTTTTCTCTTGAATTTTTTTCCGTGAAATTATTGATCAAAATATTATTTAGGAATCCATTCCAATTGACGTTTGTGAATTCATGATGGCCCTTTTGTCTTGAATACTTTAACTATTCATGTCATATAAATTATATAAGTAGTTAACGTAATTTTTCTTGAAAAGAATAATCGTTTGTTTTAGTCTTAGAGGAAAACACACTCTTTATCTTTGAAATAGGATAGCTATGATTACAATTTCTAATCGACTGTTCGCAAGCGACGACTAACGTTTTCTCTCCATTCAGGAATTTGATTCTAAAAGTCAAACAAATTATTGCATCTCTTTAAGAGTTAGATTCATTCCTATATTGATATTGATCTGCATATTATAGAAAAAATTCAGAATTCCGTTCGCGCAATATGAATTTCGCCTTACGAGAGAAGTATCTACCAAACTGTTACATAAGCTTATCTGAAACTGGAAGTGTACGCCATATCACAATTCAATGGAAACTGTTAAATATGCATTTATTCCGAGATAGGACACCTATGAAATAATACGTAACGTATTATGCGTGATTTCTCTAGTTGAAATATGTTAAGTTGACAAATATATCGGACATATCCTTCCATTTGCTGTCGAATCCTTATAGAATATTCTATCAAACATCGAATAAGTAAATTCAAAACACATTGACCGTTGACCTATGCTTTTCATGTTGCTTTATTTCTTAGTATGTAAATACAATATCATTTACACTACTGAGTAATTCTTCTTCCTTGGGGTGCGAACGAGTTATTTTTTAAGCTGATTAGTGATCTCTTTTGATCATATGATTTGGATGATCCAAAAATGAAAATAGATCAATGTGAAAAAGAGTTCGGACCTAAAGAGCAAATAAATTAATATGAAAGAAAGTATAAATTAATATAAAGGAGAAAGTCGTTTCGACTTGAAGAGAAAATAAATTGATATAAAAGAGAAAGTAGTTTGAACCTAAAGCGAAAATAGATCAGTATAAAAGAGAAAATAGATGATTGCATTTAGAATGTTTTATTCAGTGTACAAATAAATTAAAATCGTTTACAAAAGTAGCGAAGAAAATTTCCAGGGAGAAAGCTATAACGAAAAAAAATTTGAGCGGGGGAAATCCTCCGCTCATCGTAAACTATGTTAGATATGTTTTACTTAACCTTCATATTTTAACTTCAGTGTACTGTATTTAACGAGCGAAAACGTTCTCTTTTAACTGAAAAAATCTTCATTAAGAAATGAGTTACTTATTGACATGCAAATATATAAATTTATTAATAGATAGCAATTTTCTTTTAAACAGTCATAATCAATGAATAAGAAGTAAAGAAAACTATATTATAGGTAAAATTTATTACCATAAAAAAAGTAACGTCAGAGAGTCAATTCATGTCGGGATGAGAGATAGGCTAACTTCAACATTGTATGTTGGACGCTGCTTGATTTTTTGATATATTTATTTTTGAACAAAAAATAGGAAATATCAAATCGTGTACACGGCATCAGTTAATTTCAGAGAAAGATGTGTCTGACACATCATTAGTCTTGAAACATTTCTCGTAATGAATGCATTGTGACATCGCACAATTTCTCAATGGTGTTTTGTGAAAACACAGGAATAGGTCCAAGACACATAATCGTTAAAACTCCGTTGACTGTTTGAATGGAAGTAAGTGGCATACCTCCTCGAATCATATTCATGCAAGGCATCATCGCTGTGAGTTTCCACCTGCCGTAACGTTCGTGAAATGGCAAAATGCCCCAACTGGTAACTATACAAGTCACAGGATCCGCAGGATTTGGTGGGTTCATAACTTTGGGATAGATACTCCCTAAAATCATGCCAAGAGCAAGGACGTGACCAGCGTTGATTGACATCTTTACATGGCGACCAAACGCTTGTGCAAGATGCCACCTACTCTCAGTTGTCGTTGGTACATCTCTTATGGGCAGTGTGAACATCATCGTCGCTGATGCGTGAACGCTGAGGTCATGATTGGGAACAGGAGGCACACATCGTTTGCGCGTATCAGCACTAATGGAAAAGTTCAGTACACTTGTTGAATTGGCGTGGCCATTAACTAATGTAGAAGTGGCGCACATGAGGGCACTACTGACAGCTGATGTAACTGTCACACCCATTTGATGACACTTTTCTATCAGTTTTTGCGTATCTTCCTTATTCAAGATGCCGTAAGCGGCTTCAGTGTGGCAATGGGTGGCCATATCAATCAATGGAAAATCAATATTAGCCAAAGGAATCTTACAAACGGTCGACCTTGTGGTCGCATATAGGTACAAGGTCGCTAAAATAAATTTCGAAAGTATGAAGAGTCTGCCTAATATTGATAGACTTTTTTTGATTGCAGTTTCCATAGTCAACGGCCAGTTCAACGACCTGGTAAACATGTTTTCATCGCCACCACTCAAAGACACGAGAAGCTCGTGTGCCACAACACTCAAAGAGATTCCATCGCACACACTGTGCTCGCATATGATTACAACTTCGCGTGGGCCATTATCATCACCATCGTCATTTGGATCCTGCAGAAGCCAGAATTCGACGAGTCCTTCCCCGATTACCGTGGTCTTCTTTTCTCGCTTTCGCCATTCCGTACGCCAGAAATGAAGATACTCATCACGGTTCCGCGGTATTTCTCGAATTGTGAGACGAAGTGTGTCGTCTTCATCCAGAAGATAACTACCTGGTTCTACGCTACGCATTCGAAGACGACTTCGAAGAATAGGATGACGACGTTGCAGGCGCCCAACAGCTGCAGTTAGCATTTCCATAGATATGTATGGTCCTTGCAAATGGAGAACTTCAACAACTTTCATATAACCTTGCTGCTGTTGTGAGAGCTTCATTAGAGCGTTTTCTGCTGATCCCAAAACCCGTTGGTTCGAGTTGACGTCATGCGAGCCTCGGTAAAACCAGGACCACATATGCACAAGAAGAATTGATTATCAGTTAGCTAAATAAAGAGATACATTCGATTGATCGATGATTGCATGAAATTAGAAAGCATAACATCAAACTGAATTTCAAATAATATACGTCCCATGTCGGAGAAATCGCCGATTAATCGCCGACTTTTTAATGATATTATAATATTGAAAAATAATCATAGAAAGCGTTTTTTCTAAGAAAAAACAGTATAAAAAATGAATTCCATATTTTCGGGAACCTTTTTTCCTATGTTCTTCTCTAGACTGTGTGAGAGTTACACCTATATCTTGATCTGTGTTATCTGATATCATATTTAGATATTAAATCTGCTATCTCTTAGATTCGAACTCGATACCTCAGCTAGAAAGACCAATGTATTATCCATTACCCAGGAGAATGAATCCTAGCCTAGGATCCGATGAGTTCCGATCGGTTCCTATTGGAATCCGACGGAGCTCTTCGGAAGGCGCTATAAAACTGTCGGATTCGACATTGATTCCTCAACCAGGAATCCAACGGGATTTCGTCGGATTGTAGGACCCGATAGAATCCGATGGGTTCGGTATCGGATTGATTCACCTAAGTAAACTATACTTACTATATTTATCTTACTTTGAAAACGTTATATAAATTAAACGGAGCAGCGACGAAAATTTTCTCAAATTTTTTCTCTTTAATTTTAATTGCTTATTTCTCTTAATGTCTAACAGACAGGCGATTATGAGCATGGGTATTAATTTATCTTTATTATTCACTTATAATAAACGATAAATGCAAAATAAATAAATAAAATCCTTATTTCAAAAGGTGAAGATAAATAAAATCTTCATTTAAAAAAAAAGAAATTACCAATTAATCGCGATTAATCATTCTGATTTTTGTGCGATTACAATCAATCGCGATTAGTCATTCTGATTTTTGTGCGATTACGATCAAACGCGATTAGTCATTCTGATTTTTGTGCGATTACGATTAATCACGATTTTACGTTCATTTTTTGATAAATCACTAAAATCGCGGCGATTTTCACGACATGGGGTATATCATAGAAATTTGTCAACCAACAGCTGAGTCAGTTTCATGCTGGTTTTTTTATGCGAGATACTACCTGATGATTATATCAATGATGCCAGAAATAAACTAATCAAAAGATGCTCATTTAGTTTCATGTGGAAAGTTCTTCACTGCCGGACAACAACAACATCTGTGTTGAAACTTGAAAAAACTCAGAATTTGAAGTGTTCAATTTGTTTGTGAATTTCCCAGCATAGCTAGTTTAGCGAGGAATCTATCCCAATCGAATTAGAATGTTTAATGTTCGGATTCCGATTGAATAGAATGATATTTTCAATAATTGATAAGTCTCGCAAGTAGTTGATAATCATAATTAAAATTTGATTAATCACAGGCGAAGTCGAAAAAGTAGCGTGATTACTAGGGGCATCAGGATTTCGCTATTGGTAACAGGACGCTTGATGCAGTGAAGTGGGTGCTCAGTCGCCCTCATGATTCTGCCACTAGATGCAGAAGGACGAAGTAGTATCTTCAAATCGAGAGCTAACTTTTGATTAATCGTTGTGAAGATGCTACATGCAAGCAGCAGTAAAATTAATAGTTAAGAGTCGCGAGTGGTAATCTCATGGTGTTGTACTCCCTGTGGAGTTGAATTCAACCCTGATAGATCTCAAGAAATATGTGGAGAGTTTATCGAAAGCTGAAAAACTATTTAAATCATAAATCTAGTCAAAGTTTTAAACGATGGAAAATTACATGCAACGCATCACAACAACTTAGAATTTCATGGAAACATTTTTACTCATGCCTTTCAATTTAATAACTAGAAGTCAGATCTTCGGCGTTTTGAGTTCATTGTTATCATATGAAATGTTCGCCATTAGATGCTCGTTGTTTCTAGAATACTAAGTAAGTTTGTCTCAACTCTTTATCTTATAAAATTTAGACTCTTATTGCACATTATAATAACAATTTCTAATAGCTTTACACTCTTATTATTCTGCTTTTCATACATAATTTAAATGGCTGCCATTTAAAGTGGTGAGTAAAAAACCCAGGACAATGATTGCTGAAGCAGTATTCCGTGAATTTCTGGCGAAAACCTGCAAGAAACTCGCTGTTTCCGACCGGAACCCACCGGGAATCGTCCGGAATTCGATGCAGGAATCCGGAAACCGTATCCGGCTACCAGTTTTGACAGATTCCTCTCGATTCCGACCGGAGCCGGATAAATCCGATCACCGGATCCATTCACCGGAATAGTGCTTCCAAGAAATCTCCGGAATATCACAGAACCGACCGTTTCCGGGACCGGAATCTTCGACCTGGGTGTAATTAATTTTTTACAACTTCTTCAATGCCACGAATCGCACCATCATGTTAGTCGTGCCCAGTTTCCCTTTCATAAACTGTTACTTAATGATACTATTTGCATTATATTATAGATGAATACGTGTAGGACATAGATTTTCACTTGATGCGTCTGCTTCACTAACATTACTAAATCCACGTTTTTACTCAACATGTCGATTTCTTTTTTTCAAGGATTCTTTTATTTCCATTTATTCCTTAATCTACTTCTACGACATCTTCATCTGATATATTACTTTCATATTCAACAAGTTGAATCATTTGTATATAAACATAAAATATGTTAGTTTTATTTGAAAAATATTCAATATTTATATATGAAGATGAATAAAGATAGAGATCAAACAAGAAATCTAGAAGCTTCTTTTGTTTGATTTAAGACAATGAACAAAAATAAGAGTTAAAATAATGATTTTTCTAATTATTTAATTTACTGATCGTTTCATTGACTCTATTAACCATAAACTATGCTTCCACTGTTTATAAACATGTGTTGAAAATAACGAGTCATTTATAAGAAGTTGACATTTTCAATTACAAAAAATTTAATCATATATTTTAGATCTCCATTGATGTCAGTACACGATAAAAACCACGAGACAGAAAAAATATGAAAATAAACAATGACAAGCGCTATAGTGATGAAATAGAACTCTCATATAACTACTAATATGATTAGGAAGTAGATATAACTAATCGAGTGTTTCATTTGACTGTTTGAACCGTTATAGGTGGCATAAAGAAAAAATGATCGGTTCTAATTATAAATCGCATCACAACACTGTTTGGAGATAAAACTCATAGAAACCAAACACTATAGTGCTGACTGATAAATATTTCAAGTCAGTCTTTATCAGTAGGCTAGCAAGTCCACTTCACTCTAACGTTTTCAAGCCGGTACCATTCCTGCGATATAATTCATAATCATACTTTTCTCAGGCTAAGGACTATGATAGGATAAATATGATTAGTCTAGTAATAGTTACCGTCAAGAAATATCCACGGGCGATCAAGTTAGAGAACGAATGAGTAAATATTCATTAGTTACACATGCGAGAAGCGCACGTTTATATCTCTTTTTTTTGTGATCGCTGATGCGTAGCTCATGTTTTCTTGCTTCTAAACAAGAAGAAAGTGAGAAGGCAAATTGGTAGGTAGAATAGTCAATGAGCAATGATTCTTGGGGGGTGGGTGTGGGTATGGGTGTGACCATTCGCGTTTGAATTTGTGCTGTTGTTGTTGGTGTCAATGAACTGCAGCGTGTAAATCACACAAGAATGCGGACTCCTCTATTAATATTGATACGTTTTTTAAAAATGATTAATCTAAGGATATAAGCAAAGCTAATTTCATGGTGAAAAAGTAAAAAAGAACTCTTTAGCATGTTTTTCTAACAGAAAGGAGAACCCATTAATGCCGTAATACTGGCTTAAGTCACTTGTAAATTCACGAAAGAGTAAAGATAATAAGACTTTAGAAATATATTGAAATCGATTTCGTAAAAAACCTAGAGTTTTTTGTATGTTCTCTACAGAAATAATCGAAAAAAACGTTGTTAAACGCGACAAGTGTGTCTAGTGATTGTTTGACACCATTCTCAGATTAAATCTAAAATAAGTAATCTTTACAGATTGTTTCATCCGATCTTGTAAGAAATACTGATTCCACCCCTCATCATCATCATCAAAGCGTATTCAGCTATTATATTATTCAATTGTTTTTATTTATTGACTGATGTACACGTTGACATTGTTCAACTAGACAAGAGTCTTGAATAGAACTTATTGGAACTGCTTCGTATCAATGCCAAGTTTTTCGGCATAAGCATCTCCGTAGTAGACTAAAAGTTCCTCTCCGACTTCGATATTTCGAATTGACAGGTAAAAAATATCACCATGATCTATAAAAACAACAATATATAAGTAGTTTCACCGGAAACTATGTACGAATATCATCTTACACACTAATGACATGAGATTTCGTTGAGCAAAATTGTTTGGACAATTGACGAATCGAAGCCAATTCGAATTTTTTGGGTCAACTGCATCGATGTAATACATAACATTACCCGACTTGTCTAGCACCTATACAAACATAAAAAATACGGGTGTCAAGCTGTTTACACATACATTCCAAGCATAGCTGCTTGCTCCGTGAATGAGGTCAACGCTTCGCTTATAGCCAACGTAAGGACCAAAATAACTGAAACGTGCGATGCGACGAGATGCAAATACTCCTAGACCCTTATAAAAACAAATTATTTATTTTCATTTGTGTAATACTGTTTATAATATATATAGATTACTTACAGCGTTCGGAAGAGAACTTTTAGCAATGTAGACGGTGTCCGTTGGAGTTGTTGCGAGAGCATAAGAATTGGAATCGACAAGAGAAGGATAAATTACCTAAATATTCTTTGCAGTGATACATATCGAACAAATCACTATGCAAAGTTGACTCCAAGACAACACCAGAACAACTAGGGAAGATCTATGTGCTGTAAAATTTACAACAGTTTTTTCAAATCATATCACAAATATTTTTCCTTTCAGTCAGACATAGCACTTGATACTCATAGATAAATCTCTGGTAGTTCGCTCTCAACTCTGTGAATTCTAAATTATTTTTTAATTTATTTACATCCTCCAGTACTTTCTTGCCTGTGAATCACGAATATGAATTAAGTCAAATCGAAGTTTGTTTCTGGGTGAAGTTTTGCCACTGTCTTCACAATTGCTACCGGATAGCAAGAAGAAAAATATATATGGCATCACGATGTAAAATCTATGATCCATATAATAGCCCATTGTGTAGAGATAGTCCTTGTACGCCTAATCGAAAATGCAAATACTCTGCAATGCAAGCAATTCAATAGTAATTTGTTTTATTTGAGAAAAATAAAATCGGTAGTAGCAACAAGCATATATGAGTAATAATAATAAAGTTGACAATCAATAACAAAAAAACAGAAGGAAGGCAACAACACAAAGTAAACTACTTAGAAACATAAGATGAAGAAAGGAGTAAACAAACAATAATATATACAATTCGATTTTTAATGGCAATGTACACCATCTGGCGGCACTAACAAATGTATAAAACAATCATATAATTGTAGTGTGATTTTGAAGAGTACGCCCCGGAGAAAACAAAACATTATACTCGTCATGAGTATTCTTAATTCATCCGAATCATAATTTCAAGGTGTCCATGCACACTCAACAACCAAAACAAAATATAAAAACATTTAGAGAATTGTACAAAGTTAAATCAACCTTCTACATTAGCATTTTTATATCAGTGAGCGTGAGTTGTTCAGCAGATTTTTATTCATATTGAATGACTACTGAGAGAATATATACAACTGCCAGGCACTGTTTCATCGCTTTTTTTAGCTGTAAATAAGGCTCAATGAGACTAAGAAAGTCCTAAAAGGGTTCGTATGCATAGTGTGCCTGGTTGAATATTTGATTGCCACATTGGTGTCAGAAAATGGATTTTGTTGTACTCTTTTTCAATTTCTTTTCTATATCTCGAGAAGTTGAGATCTGATAGCGCTTCACCGATATCGACATCGACACCCCATTTCGTTTCTTTCCGTTTATACGATGTGAGTGTAGATGTGAATGGCAATTAAACAAAAATGGAATGCACAAATTCATGATATTAAAATTCTTATAGCTGCAACTTTACTTTTGGTGATCACCTTGATTTCTTATTTATAATCAAAGGTATCAGCAAACTTTTGCAGCGCTTGCTTCTTAGATACATCTGTAATTCGATTTCTTTTTAATTTATGAGTAAAACAAGAATATGATCGCTTGGATATATTAAATAATGAGTTCGAAATTTTAGCCAAGCCAATTAATTCAAATGATATTTGGTTATGTTTCTAGCTTTAGAAATCTGCTGGACGCGTGTGATAAACTACATTTGGACTCCTACGACTCAAGATAAAGTTGCCAACATCGATTTGCTGGCGATACACGCGTTTGGCGCTCTCCAATTCCATTTCTGCAGTAGCCTTTTCTGCTGCTTGGACCGTTTTCAATGTCGAAATGTATACTTCTTGTTCTGATTCTGCCTACTTATCATCGTTTCTGCATCATTCTTTGTCCATCTAGTAAGCGGATCACGCCATGTTGGACTCTAATGACTGATATTTCTCCGTATTACTTCTAAGACACGCTGAGCAAGTAACTTATGATTGCAAGCACGTAGATAACGGTTTGAAATAATTTTAAATGTATGATTTTTGGGCGTTGTGCCAATGCATTTTTCGCACAAATCAAAGCTCGTATCACATCGTTGGCAGCGGTGTCGCGTCCCGCCGAACGATTTAGTCCCACATCCATCACAAAGGATACCGAAATGTTTCAAGTCATGAGCAAGTTTAAATGCCACGTTGTGCCATTCTGATTTTGAAAATGTATGCATCGACGGATGTTGACGTGGCATGTGCGCAATACATTTATTGCAAACAAAGAACTCATATGGACATTGATTGCAGACAAAGGGTTCATCTCTGCCATGGACGAGCACCTTTAAGCATTGACCACAATATCCAAAAAACATTGTTAAATACTCTTGATGCTCGAAAATTGACGTTGAAGGTACCTTATAAACAAATGAATGATATGTTTATGGCTTTTAAAATAAGCGCCTGTTAACTTAAGACAAGAATGAATTCGAATTTTATAACAAGACATGAGACAGGTTTGAAAGTGAATGAATCAGATAAATAATTTTCTTTATATCAGACATTCTGGTATTACCTTCACATTGTTTTTTTCTTGTACAGTTTCTCTTTCTCTTGTCAGTGATAAGCTTTTTGGTGGCTGTGACATCAATATATTATTCATCTATTATGAAAAATTCTATAAGTTGGTTTTTTCAGATTTAATCGCCTATTTACGTTTTCGAATGTATGGTAGGAAATATTTCTGAGATTGTCCTCCATCTTCGTGCATGGCTCACACACCAGATGTACAAATCATGATTTCTACCTTTTATACAGTTGCAAATAAAAATGAAATTACGTTTGATTGAATGTTTAGTTATGCGTATTTATAATAAAAAAAAGTGCGAAAACCTCGAATTTAAATCCGAGTGTTATGTGTACTTCAAAAAGTGAAAAGGTATACTCACTTTTTTTTCCTATAAGACGTAGATCTCATCAAGATAATCCCTTGTCACTAAATTGCAAGGAGAAAATACAGGCGTGCTAAGTTAGCATGGACCACACTGTATGCGACCATATCCGGTGACCACTGACTCTACTCTTAGAGTGATATAATATCTTTAGAAATCACAGAAATTAAGTTCAGATTCGTGTTTAGCTTGGAAAACTGGGTAAGAAGAGTTATTTTTGAATGGATTTGCGCTTGTATCTAGCAGGATTACGATCGTATGGAACCTCATGAATCTATAAGAGATATATGATAGATACAGGCATCAGTATTCTCCTAAGAAATCACCAATATTAATAGCTATCGAGTTCGGGTTTTTACCTTTCGATAGTCCTTTTGACTAGCTACAAAACCAGGCATTTGAGAAACCCCAAAACTACTGGTCATCTGAAATATATCTAGCCAATTTGGTTTCTGGATGCAGTTTTTGTGCATTTTTTAGACCTTTTTTAGGCGGTATCTTGTTAGAAAGCCACGATTTGGTTCAAAACTAATATCAGATTCGGAATCAGCGTTAAAAACTGAGTCGATTTTTATGTGTTGTGAATAATTCTAAGAAAAATATTTTTTTTGAAAAATCCCTGTACCACCCCTCAGGGTTGGATTGGTCAATAATGACAATTTTTTCGATAACTCAACCATTTCTTGACGGATCCTTCTCATCTTCGAACTCGACTGAGACATTAATGAGGCTGAACTGTGTAGAAAATTTCATCATGATCTAACTCTCCTTTCGAGAGTTATCGTGTAAACGGACGGTCGGACGGACACACTGACCGATTCTAGAGTGTACTCACTTTTTTGAGTACACAAAAAAGATCACTGAAATAATCATAAATATATGATGCAATCAAGCGGAACGTGCTCAAGTTACCAACGTCATCGATCACTATGGTCACTTCCTTTTTCTTGTCAAATCAAATACGAATAAAAACTTTATCTTGCAAAGCAAGGAAATGACGAAAACAACTTTTCACAATTTATAAAATCATAGAGAATAACATTTTTCCTTGAGTGACAATTTATTGAATCTCTTTAAACATCTTATGAAAAACTATGTGCGATTGTAAATGCGGTTTATGCTACTTTGTATTTTCATCTAAACGTTCACATATTTGCCCAAAAGTTATGTGAAATGATTTATCATAAATACCATGAAACTTGATATTGTCTTTGCATGAACAATAATTTAAAAACAACATTTCTCGGCAGTGTGACTATTATATCGTCAGATTAATGGTTCAACTAGTTCAGGGGAAATATGGATATTAGTATAGAGGTTCATATAATCATGTTAATGGAAATTCTGATTGACTAGCTAAATTTCAAATCTGGATCTTATTATAATACATTAGTCACGAACATATATGTCAATAGTTAACAAAAGATTAAATGAAAACCACATTTTTCGAAAGGTGTATGTATTTTGCCATCAAGATATTTGTTGATTAGACAATTCATATTTTTACGCTCGATAAGTAGTGCTACTTTATAGCCGGATATTTAAGACGCCATTTTGCTACATCATACACAGCTCATATTTAGTAACGCGATTGCGTCAATATTAGTTATGGTGCCAAAAACGTCGCCTCTAAGGCAATACGTACGCATTGGTAACGATCTGATGCATGTTGAAGTACGTAAAGATACAGGATACTCTGAAATACATTGTTGAATTCTCTTGATTAATACTGAATTTTGAGGGAAGCAAGATGCTGAAAGAATAATGACATTATGCCATCGGTGCAAGAAAATCAGATTTATTTTCTACACTTTCTTAGCCTGCTTAATTATTCTGCTCGATCGACTAGAGCCAGTTGCTTCGTCGATCACATGAATTTCTACATCTATATCTAAATTATGCTGAATCCTTTACTCTTGTACGCCAGTGAAAGTCGGAACCTAGGCTCTTTACATGATGATTATATACTATTCAACTTATTTGTTGCTGCGGTCAAATGATGCAAAATTCAAGAATATATAAGCAAGCTAGTGGTAGGACAAAGAACCAACTATGACACTAAATGGTGTGTGAGAATGCTAGTGAAGAAAATACGTCCATCATGCAAGTAGGTAAATATTTAAAGATAAATGTCGACTCATCAGAACGCGCAAATTTATCTAATAGACGCTATCAATCTACAAGCACTCATAACATAAAAAAAAAACAAGACCATAATATCCACTGTTTCTTTCGTTGCATTCATATCTCGTTATGACAAATATGTACCATAGCAGATCGGTAGTTGTCTGTTTGATTATTATTATTGTTTGTTTCTTAACTATTGATCGATGCCAATCGACTCCATTGGACGATTATGTAAACTTGCCTGATTCACACTTTGAGTGGCATGTGATAAATACATATAAGCAGCCCGACTATGTACTCTATATTCTTAATTTTACTTCTCAACAATGGTTTAATGGTACGTTCTATGAGAGTGAAAAATATTATCGTCGTTTTTCTTTCAATCCTAGAGAGTTTCTCAACTCGATCTATCTGGTGGCATTTTTTATGTATCACCGTTCCCAATAGTTTGACTCGACCGAACAGTGCTTTCATGCTGATCGACGGCGGCAGTAATAATGACGCGTGAGAATAACTGATGTGAGATATATGAATTAAATAAATTATATTTTCTAAAGAATACCTAAACCAGAAGATAATTTCGTCGCTCTTACATCTATGCTTGGAGCCAGTAGTGGTAGTATCAGTGTTGATCTACAAACTATTCCTAACGAACCTACTCGATTTATGGTAAGCTTGACACGTGCATCTATGCCATATGTTTTCATCGCACGATCTGATGATAGGCTGATCCAACAGGAAGAAACCGCATGGAAGATGCTATTATAGCATGGACCTGGAAGAGTTTTATTGACAATCCAAGTAATCCATATGAACTTATTCTGATGCCTATGACCAAGGTATGAGTAAATATAATTCTATTAAAAGATGTTGTGAGCATTTTCAATCTATCTAGGCTGCAGTTCGTGCTATGGATGCTGTGCAGCAATTTGCAACTCAACTCGGAATTCCAGTACCTGGAACATTTGTTATCAGTGGTGCTTCTAAGGTAAACATATTTTTCTTTGAATAGGTATTCAACAGTTGTATGCAATTGTTTTCAATGATAGCGTGGATGGACAAGTGAGTTATTTCACTGGCATGACATATTTTTTTTCTCTCTGACACTTTGAAATCTTCAGCCTGGACAACGGCTGCTGTTGACAATGTGCGTGTTATTGGTGCCATACCGATCGTGATGGATATGGCCAATTTCCAGAAGGTAAAACATAACCAATATGCTGGATAAGCGACTGGAATCGATGTTTTCTTCTCTAGAGTCTTCATCATCACTTTCGAGTAAGCAGATAAAATAGCATGTGAAATTAAAGTTTTTTCTTCTGTAACTTAATGTGACAGTCTTTGAATGGTTGGACATTTGCCTTCAAGGACTACTACGAACTGAATATTACTCTCTCTGTTGATAATCCAAACTTGCCTAAAATGTCAGAGATTATTGATCCATACTGTACGTTGATTTTATATTTATTATTCTTGTACGTATATTTTACTCATGTAGATTACTTTGAACGATACAAAAAGACAAAAATCTTACAAGTACAATCGGCTGGCGACGAATTTTTTCTACTCGACAATGAAGTAAAAAGATCCTGCTGATCCTATAAATTTCCGTTTTATTTTACGTTCATTTTCAGGAGACATTTTGGCAAGAATTACAAACAGTCACGGGTGGCACTTATCTCAGGTATCCTGAAATGATTACTATTGAATTTTAATATCGTATTGTAGACGATTACCTAATGCTGATCATTCATGTGCTGGCCATGAAATTAGTCTATTCTGGACAATGCGAAGCTTCTATCTAAGTGTCTATGAAGTGAATAAGATAATTTTGTATTTCATCGACTATTCATTCATTATTTGTCTAATTCAAGAATAGACCATTTCCTTCTCTTCACTGGAATAAAACATCAAACAGTACGCATGGTTATATTCGTGCCGTCGTCGATTTTAGTTATGGTCCCAAACCGATGAGTGCCTTTGGTTATCACGCTCGTACACTGAATGATCAAAGGTTTGTTAAATATAGATTTCATTCATTCATTCATTCATTATATTTGTCATTGATTTGATATAGACGGGATTTTCGTCTGCTCATAGCTGATCCTAATCATCCAGGAAAAGCTACTCCCAATCCGGTGATTTGGTTTCATACTCCAGTTGTCACTGAAGTAAAAAACAAATGCCTTCGATCGTGTTCTAATTTCATTCTTTGGTTGACTTTCTATAGGGACAAACTTCAACAACTATTGTTTATTCATTGACCATTGAAAGTCCGTCGAATGGCTGGGAAGGTTTTTTTATTCAAGTAAACTTTGCTGGCCCAGATGGTACAGTTCTAGAACTTACCACAGAAACACAAGTCGTTCCAGATACATATCCAACAGCTGACTGCTTTAATGAAGGATGTTTTGGTAGTCTCGTGTAATCGTTCCGCCTAACATTTATAAAAAAAAATAATAGAAAGTTACAAACATAGAAACGATTTATATGTATTCATTACCTGCCATATCTTAGAGTCTCGTAAGTTAGACTAGGCTTGGGTATATTGGCGCCCGTTGTTTCTATTTAACCAGCTCCATATAATCTAGTACCATGTATGATTTTTGAAGGATATGGATGCGGTTTTTAGTTAACAAGCATGACCATGATTACGTCCCTGCTGAATGGCTCGTCAGATATCTGTGCAGACGGAGGAATCATAAGATCACACATAAGTTACTTATAATGGAGAATTTATGATGAACTTTCTTATCAGATGGATTTGTGTTGTTCTATTCTCTTTCATTTTTGAAAGTAATAATAATAATAATAGGTTACACCTTAGATTTCTTTTTATAAGAAAAATTAGAAAAGTAACTTTCGCGAGAAGAAAAATCAACGATTACATGGAGTTCTGTTAAAAATCGTTGCAAGAAAAGGAAAAATGAACAGCAACAACATATCGAGTAATCAAGAGATAAATGTATTTCATGCTCAAAAAAGAATTTAAAACTATCTACCTATTCTATTTGAGAGTCAGTGTCTCTTTCTCAGTAACATCACTCTAATATTATATTAACATTGAACATGTCAGTAGATTATTGGAAAACTGCAAAGTGCTGAAAATTGAAATAAATATAACATATTATAAATTCTTTTGCACATGACGAATTCGCTAAACTTCATCAGATGACATAGGTAAAATACATTTCCGATTATTGAAAGAACTTACTCTGCAAGAAATATACAAAAATTGTATCTTCTTAAAAGTTTGCATAAATGCGAGAATTTTTCAATAGTAAACAAAAATATTCACGTATATTGCAATTTTACAAATTCAACAACTAGTATTTCTATATCTTTAGATTAAAAGAATAGTGTATATAAATGCTGATCAATTTACTCGAATATCTCACTGTAATTTGTTTTTGTTTCAATTATTTAAATGCGTGGCAAAATAAATAACTCAGTTGTTCTATGAAACTTTCATTACCTTTCATATTGTAAGAGTGGCATGCTGGGAAAAAGCAAAGCAGAAATTGCAACCAGGTTGAATTTTCAACAATTCAATTTGAGTCTAGTGTTTCAAATCGAATTAAATTCAGAGATATGAATTCGGCTTCTCGTATCTGGTTTCTTACGAGTCTGAATTTTGAGATGACCTACTTTCACGCCCACATCTGATCTTGACTCATTTGCAGAAGAATGCAAGTACGCGCGGCAAATGCGCGACAACTTAAATCTTGTGACATGTAATTTTTTTAAGCGACATCTGCAGTACTAGAACATGTGACGAGCTCGCCAACGATAACAGGCGTTTAAGTTTTTGTCAAGGGAACATATTTTTGTAACAAATTATCGGGATCATCTATCCGACAGATCGTTAGTTAAATTTGTTCTCTCGAGTAAAAAGAAACATCAACAGTATGCGAGCGAGGGGTATTCGACAGTACAAGTCGTCAACTATGTTCTCTCTTTTTCTTCGTGTGTTGCCTGCCGTATGATTTTTTTATCTAAACGTTTTTTCATATTAATTTTTTTCTTACTGTCTTAATTTTGTAAATTTCAAGAGGTATCCGTATCCCAAAAAGATGAGAATGTGACTATCTTGAACATCATGACTCTCAATATGTACTCAAGATGGACCAGTTGAATGCCGAGAAGATTATATTCTTTGATGAAGGAAAACAGCTATTCAATCAACAAGAAGAACTATACAACCGCGTGAAAATGCAAATTATTCTATCATTTACTATTTTTTATTTTTGATAAAAATCAGTTATTCCAGAAGTTTCATCAACCAAAACATGATCACGTCATGCAAAAACGAAGTTTTTTACGTTCGAAGCTATGTATCTTTGCTCCAACTTGAACAGTAGTTATGAAAATTTATGTCAATAATTGTCTAGAATCGATTGGCTACCTTTCCAATTTTGAGCACTTTTTTATTTGTTGTAATGCAGAAAATGAAATTCTTCTATGAAGTGCCAAGACGTTTGGCTGGTTCTTTATAATGTACGCCATCTATAGAGTAAATATGCTATATAAATGAAAACAAAACACCGATGAAAAACCAGCAAAAAATTGCCGGTCTTAAGTTTTTACCGGACCAGACCAGTCGGTCTGGTCTGGCACCGGTTTACCGGTTCGATTCTAGATATGATCTGGATAAACTTTCACGTTCATCCATTCACTATCTTTTCGTCGACCTTGATTGTCTTATCGCAACGAAGTAAAAGTAGAGAAAAGAAAAATTGATATTTCATATCAGTCAAGCAAGCAAGCAAAAAAACCACTTCGTTATGGTGATGATGTAAAATACACTATATATAAATCTATTTGCATAATTAATTTTTTATACTTCTTTTCAATTCATCATTACTGAATATGTCTGGTGGAAGATATAAGAACGTGCTATTAATTGGCGCTTCTGGTAACGTTGGTAAAAATATTTTACCCGATTTGCTTGCTGATCCCGATTTTAAAGTCAGTATTCTCTCACGCACTGATTCATCGGCAATTTTCCCATCTAATATCAATATTATTCAAGTTAACTATTCAGATAAATCAGCTCTTGTTCAAGCACTAACCGGTCAAGATGTTGTTATTTCCGCTGTTGGTGGTGAAGCTTTAATGAAATATCTAGAGAAAGTTCTGATTGAAGCTGCTCTTGAAGCAGGTGTTAAATGGTTTATTCCATCTGAATACGGTTTCGATCTGGACCATTCTTCTGCTTCTTCTATTCCAATAAACATTCATCAACTCGAGAGCATCAAATTACTCAGGCAACATGAATCACGTATTGCACATACGTTTATCTCGACCGGCGCTTTTCTTGATAGGGGTCTCGACAGTGGTTTTCTGTGTTTTGACTTGGTTAATCATTCAGCAACACTCTACGATGAAGGCAAGCACTTGGTGTCAGGTACGCTGCTTAAAAATCTTGGTAAAGCTATTGTTGCTATTCTTCATCATCCTGAATTAACTTTAAATAAACGAATCTACATTGCTGATGCGACATTTACACAACAAGAAGTCTTAGTTCTTTTGGAGAAATATACAAGCACAAAATGGACTGTGAAACATACAACCACGGAAGAAACATTGAAACAAGGACAAGAGGAATGGACAAGGGGTAACTTTTTGGATGCTTACATCGCATTTATTCTAGGATTGATATATAATGGTGAAGGTGCGTGTGATTTTGAAGATAAGACACACAATAAAGCTTTGGGATTGGAAAGAGTCTCATTAGAGCAAATCGTCAATGAAGCTGTTCAACGAGTAGAAGCTGCTGCTCATTAGATGTTTTTTTTTATATCACATAGAAATTTTCGTTATTATTCAAATCAATGCTTAGTTATACCCTGAACAAGTCACATTATTTGAATATAAAATTAAAATTAAATTATCGATATTGTATTACGTAAGAGAATTTTCATAAAGTTCTAATATATGTGCATTCACTTCTGTATGTCTTGAGGAAATTTGAGATAACGATAATATTTGCTTGCTATTTCAATTTAGACAAGATGAGATTTTCGAATATTCTCACAGCAATTATGGGCAGAAACACAGCAGGCAAACATCAATTTTTTTTGGTTTTTGTTGAAGTGCGAAAGCAAAAGCTGACTAGCGTAACGCCCTTTTGGGGCTAACATATGGAATTCACATATATCGCTTGGACTTACTAAACTGATGCAAAATAGCTCAAATGAAAATTTATCTTAATTTCTAAGATCTACCATTAGGACATGATCTCTTTTTGCGTATGTCTGTAATGAGGGATCAGTTGCTAAGGCCTGTAATGGTAGTCCACTCCTGTGTTGCTAGTGTCTGCAATGGATAAACCTTGTTTTTTCATGTAGTCTGTGATGAAACAAAAAATAATAGTTAGCAGACTAATTAGCCTAGCTCCTAATTAGAATAATTTTAAACTCGTTAATGACTGTAATGAGGAGGCGGAGTTACAAAAAGTTCGCTATTGAGCGTAGAGTCACTATTTGCTTCGAAGGTCTATATAAGTTCTACAAAAGTCAGAAAAAGTAGTAGTCATTGTGATATCTACCTCTTTTGATATTCCTGTCACAGCATCATATGAAAGCGAGAGAATCCCATTCAAAAACGACCGACAAATAAAGTCGAAGAAAAACATCGGAAAGGGATTTGCATGACATGAAAAAATACAACTCGAGTCTTTGAACCCTCAAGCAACTTTTCACAGAATGATTCCTATAATTGAAAGTAGAGATGAACGCTCGTTTGAATAAATTATTGTGCAACAGTTTTTTTTTATTACATATCACTCATAGTTGTGATGTTCTGGTTCTCTCTTCTATGTGCAACCACCACGAATTTTATAAGTTCGATAGTTGAGCAATTTGGTGATATTTTGCGTGGCATCAATGCTCTCATATAAAAATATTGACCGATGGCATGCTCTAGAATGACGCTATTCTTTCACTTTTCACGCAAACACTCAAGAAAAATGTCAGCGATGAGTGCTTTGCTTTTCATCATTGTTCGTACAAAATAAAATGATGATTAACGAATTCGTTGCCTCGACTTCTTTGTCGTGGTTCTCTTAAGGCTGAGCACTATGACGATCATTAGCCTAGTGATACGAACACAAAATATATTAAGTGAGATTACTTTGCCATATTACAATTGTTTTTCAATACCAAAATAATCTATCGTATTCTTTCTTCCATGTTGAGATGAATTTTTCCTTTTTCTTACCGTTTCCGCATGTGTTTTCATTTAATTGCACTATCATTTTAATCATTGATTCAGCTGATAAATATGTCTTTTACATGCAATCCTTTGTCAACAACAAGTATCAGCGGACAAACACTTGTTAACTTTTTTTCAAAATTTTCACTGTCTTTTCATTTGCTACTGTTTACAATGGAGAAAAGCAATGGCTCACAAAAACTCGATGTTGAAGATTTTCACTCATTATTCCTTCAACAATAATTATAAATAAAAAGCAAACGCTTAGTTTTTTGGTCAGACAATATCATCTATCATTCTTTGATGACAAAGTTCTTGTTTCTGGGCCGTTTGACGTAATGTTTAATACCAAGTTACAAATGGATACATTATGAATACTGTGAATAGAATGAAAAATCCAGAGTGCCAGAACAGTGATGAAACAGAGAAAAAACATATGCTTTGCTCTGGTGCAGACAAGGTAACGCAAAAGAAACATCGTTTTCTACTGCGCTGTGCGCTCTTGCTATGTTGCAGAGCTATTTTCTTCCTCTCATAGCTTGACTGAATTGCATCGCATTTGTTTTTTTGCTTTCTCTTTCTTTGACTGCATATGTGTTTTGCTTTGCTAATTAGCCGCCTTGCGTTGGTATTTTTAGTGAAATTTTCAACTGAAATATGCTTGTCTGATTTACTACTACCATTTCACCTGCATTGGTGGGATCACTGATTCTATACTCTGTTTTAAGCAGTTACTGATGACTCAATTGAATAATTATTCTTATATTGATCGTCAGTAGAAGCTCAGTGAAGCAGATATTTTCTAAACATATATTATAATGTGTTATGAATCAATAGAATCGTTCGATCCAGTACGGCCTTCATATGCACATGTTGTGTTCTTTTTTTTTCGAATGACATTTTTTTCTGTTCTAATTATTCTGAGTGATTAAAACAGCGACGATTTGCTTCGTTTTTGCCCTTTAAAAGAAGTATAGTATGTGTTTGTTTTCTTTTCTTTTCTTTTCTTTTCTCCTCATCAATAAATGAAAAAAGGTAGGAATCCGAATAGCATATTTTATGGTATGCATATTTTTGTGGTAATTGCGCAATAGGTATTTTAATTCGCATCGAAAACATATTACTTCGTTATTCTCGGTTCAAAAGAAGTTAAAATAATGAAGTCGAAGAATTTAAAAAAATAATTCAGCATATGATACTTTACGAGTGATCACATACTACTACTTCAACAGCGGGTACATGAATATCGAGTAATGTAGAATCTCGTATTACAAACAGTTGTTGTTGTTGGTGGTGGTAAACATCTTATGAGCGATGAAGATAATTTTTAATCTCTCAATTTCGTTTAAAATTTTGAAGAGCTTCGATTGCGACGAGCCATCGACTTTTGTGTTCACTGTTTCCTTGAACCGAATAATTAACTTGCAACGCTTTCAATAACTATAGGTAATCAATTGAAAATAAGGTTTCAGTTGTAATTGGCAATGGTTTTCGTTGCACTCAGCCTCTTACAATGAATCTATAAACGAATACGAATATGATCGACTATATTTATAATTATGAAATCGATGAAATTGGTTGCCAACTGGTATAGCAATCGATCATATTTGATTGAGAATAGTTGTCGATTAAAAATTTTATGAATCTATGCTATGGCTAGAAAGGTTGATACCTCTGTTCACTCGCGGATGAGAACAAACAGGGATATTCGCGAGGATCTATTACTTTTTACGATGCCAGAGCTTATTAAATCGCATTTTATGCACTAGCCATTTTTAGGAAAAATATCATTACAGGATAGATTTGTTTTAGATTTAAATTCAAATTCTGAGAAGCATGGCTGGAATATTTCAAAAGTATTTTGGTCAACTTAAAAGCAAAGTAAAATCAATCTATGCCGATAGTCCATTTGACTGCGTGCTAAGTCTCATCGAAATGAAAATCGGCGTTGCATCTGAGATCATTGCTCTTGGTATATTTCTAATCATACTTTTCTTGTTCATATCATATTTTCGTATTTTTTCAAAGCTTTATTTAGTATTCTTGCTGTCTATCTCGTTTTTGGCTGGTGTAACGACTTTGTTTGCAATGTTATCGTACTGATCTATCCAGTATACATTTCGTAAGTAAAATTTCAGTCAAAATAAGTTTCTTCGCTCTATTATATTCAAACCTGAAATTATATACGTATGTATCATATTTGCAAAGTATTCATGTCAAAATCATTATTCTAAATCAACACAACGGCAACCCCAACCAAAAAATATATGTATTATTTGTACATTTTCTTTAAAATCGAATGATTTTCCCCATCGTTGCCAAGCCGAACTAAGGCGTTTCTAAGATGAGCTATATCAAACAGATGAAAAAGTATATTTGAAGAAAATTCTACAAGCGTGATTGTTGAATTTTTCAATATGAAAAGATCAGTTTTAAGAAAGAAACATATTTCAACAACGCTTTCCATGTGAAATTTATTGAGTCGTTTTCACTTTTCCATTTTGAACATGTCCATATGAAAATTGGTTTTTTGAAATAGTGCACATAATTCTTAGAAGTAAAATAATAAGTAGTAGCTTCATTAATCTACTATATAATACTCCTTTACTTTCACTGGAACGTAAGTAGTGACAAACTCAACTAGAACTATTTTATCAATATTTGTATTTTTAATGATAAACGGAAATGAAACTCTACAGTTGGCAGCACAGAGGTCAATGTGGCGAATGAATCTCTTCTATATGTGTTTACACATTCTATGGAGTATATATTTAAGATATAGACTTAATTGTTTCATTTTTTCATCAGGTTGATGACAATCCAGTTATCGGACACATCCAGCCATAAACGCCTGTTGACCTATTGGCTTATTTATTCATCACTCGGTTGCATCGAATATATTCTTCATCGTATATGTGATTTCTTATTATCCTATTGGCTGGGCAAATGCATTTTTCTGATATGGTTTCTTAAATCTGAATCTTCTTCTTCCTTAAGTAAGCATTTAATAAGTAGCTACAATCAAAAAAGAGCATTGGCTCAAGTCGATGAAATTCTTTTTTTTTCTTTCATTAGTTATGTACGACACCAGAAAGGTCCTTCGTTTGTGGGAAGATTCCGTTATAAACCTACTTTTCACAGTTTTTTTCTAAACTGGCCACGCTAACCGTCGTGAACGATCCAGAATATTTTTGTATTCATCACGTTCAAAACCTTTGTCAAAAATAAATTAGGCGCTTGACTTCACAAAATCTATTTAGGTGCCAATGAAAGTAAAGACTATGCATAGAAAACATCACATAAGAAAATTGTTGAACTTGAGTCTGAATTTTCTGTAAAAGAATAATTATGATGAACGATAACAATACTGAGTAGGAAAAAAATGATAAGTTCAAAACAAAACTACTTAATGATTGAAAATGGTTTTGTTGCCAGGCAGTTTTAAAATAGAAGAAAGAAAATTCTCTGCTACTTTATTATATGTCAGTGCAAAACGATTTTTCTAATGAAGCATTTGTCCTAGGAAAACAGAGAATATAATTTGCTTCCAATAGTTGGACTTACTACTGTTTTATTTCTTCGCATCTCCTTATCTATATTACGATTTGTTTACATTATAGTGGTAGAGTCATCAACACAACAAGAACCAGAATATAACAACGATTCTTCAAATGGCGAGGTCAATGTGGAAGAACTTATTGCTAAAAATGGTGATTCACCGACGCTGAATCTATCTGCACAAGGAATTACTGATCAGAATCTGAATATTGTGGTCAATGCGTTAGGAAATAATACGGTGAGAGTATAATAATGTATTATAAAAATTGATTAGGTAGACAACTGTAGATATGTAGCTTATCTACTAGTCTTCATGACTCTCTCGATACATCTTAGTATAGATTTTGCCACATTTTGAAAAATATTTCGATCATATATCATGTCGTTGGTCTGCTGTCTTGGACTAGTTCGTTCTTTTGCGGGGACTCACCGGGGAGTTGTCTGGGGAAAATGGATAAAATATTTTATTACTAATAAATTCTTCTTAATTTTTTAAAATTTTAAAAAAATTAAAAATTTTCTTTTTCATTCTAAAAAATCTGATCAATTCTCCCCAGAGAAATCCCGGGGGAGAGTGGATTAGGGTCTCACCCAATTCTGTACATCTTTGTGGCTAGAAATGAACTTTTGAAAGTTTTCGAAATGTCATCGTGCTAACAAGTTGAATTTTCAATCATTAAAATACAGCAGATGGTGTTATAAACATACTAGCCAGGAAAAGCTCAGTCTCACATAAAATGACAGGCAAATCTGTACGAACACCTCAATTTAAATATAAGTATGCTAGGGAAAACAGTTCAGGTTGAATTCGCGACTCGTGATTCTTCGAAACATAATATTTGCGAACGATAACTTTGATAACACTAATACTCAAATTCCATCAACATTCTTATGTTCTCTTTTTTTATACAGACAATTAAAACTCTCGAACTCGTTTCCAATTCGATCAGCGCTGCAGGAATTAAACTACTGGCTGATGCTTTAAAAACTAATTCGGTGAAATTTATTCTCTCGTTATTTTGTTGATTTTTATCATTGCTTCTGCGCACAGACACTGACAACACTCGATCTCAGCAATACTGGTATCACAGACGAGTCAGCTCAACATCTTGCTGATGTTTTACGAAATAATACGGTAAGCTTGCATGTTTTTTAATTTTTCTTAACTATTCCTGATACGCTTTTCATAAAGACACTTTCTACGCTTCGACTTTTCAGTAATAGCATTGGAGTCCAAGGAGCCAAACATCTCGCCGATAGTTTAAGAGAAAACACGGTGAATTTTATGCTCTCATCATCTTTTCCATTTCTATCTTGGATTTTTTCATAGACACTCACTTTAATCGATCTTGGATTGAATCAAATGGGAAGCGAAGGATCACAATACTTCGGAGATGCTTTACGGAATAACACGGTGAATTCCTTTCTCGCTTTATCTTTGCCATATTCATTGCTAATTTTTTACATAGGGTCTTAAAGAATTTAATATTCAAGCCAATGAATTAGGAGATGACGGAACTGAACATATAGCTAACGCTTTACAACATAATACGGTAAACATCTTAGCTCTTTCATTTTCTTGATTTCTATTTTTCTATTTTTCTATAGACGCTTACATCGCTCGGTATCTTTTGCAATCAAATCGGTGAAAAAGGAGCACAACATATAGGTGATGCTTTAAAAAATAACAAGGTGAACCTCTTTCGCTTTTCAACTCTCTGATGTCTTCCTCGTATTTTTCGCACAGACACTTACAACACTTGAACTCCGTGACAATACTATCGGAGACAAAGGAACTCAGCATTTGGCTGACGCTTTACAATACAATACGGTAAGTTTCCATCTGCATTCATGTCCTTCATTTCTGCACGTACTGTAACGCATAGACTCTAACCACGCTTCAGCTCGATACTAATGGTATCGGTGACGAAGGTATTCAATATCTGACTGAAGCGTTACAAAAAAACAAGGTAAATCTTTCTCTTTGGACATTAAAATCAGAGATGCTTTTACTTGTTTACACAGACACTCACTTCACTTAGTCTCAGTTCCAACAAATTGGGATACGAAGCGCTCAACCTTCTCATCACTGCTTTGGAGAAGAATGCTGTGAATTCATCTTTCTTGTTTCCTATCATTTTTATTTTCATTTCTTCATACAGGCACTCACATCAATCAGTCTCTCAAGTAATGAGTTGGGACCTGAAGCCTGTCAACATCTAGTTGATGCTCTAGGAAACAATACGGTAATTTTATTTTTCTCTTCATTTCTCTGATTTTCATGGAGACTTCTTTAAAAAGACACTCACTACACTCGATCTTGGTTGGAATAGAATTGGAAACGACGGAGCCGAATATTTGGCTAATGTTTTGAGCAAAAATACGGTGATATTTAGTTGCCATCCGTTTTTCTTATTAATTTTGAAAATTTCTTCATATAGACGCTTAATAAACTCGACCTTTCGTATAATTCAATTGGAGATGAAGGAGTTCAACATCTAGCTAATGCTTTACGAAAGAACACGGTAAACTTCTTTCTCTCGTCATTATTCTTAATTTCATCGTTCTGCTTGCATATAGGGTCTCAAGGAACTCAATCTTTCGGGCAATCGAATCAACAACGTAGGGGTCAAACATTTAGCTGATGCTGTTCAAAAAAATACGGTAAATCGCATTGTCTACTCAACTTCTATATATTCATTAGCATTTTTCATACAGACACTGACCACACTTGTGCTTATATCAAATAGCTGCGGAAGCGAACTTGATTCATCTGCCATGAAACTTTTTCAGAAAAATACTGCATTGGAAGTTAAGATGTCGTGGTAATCGCTGACAAAAATAACACTGACTGATAAAAAAGAAGGCCTTAGTTTAGAGATTTTCTTTTCAAAATTACTTTTTTTGAAAAATATATTATTCATACTCAAGCATAATTTTCAATTGGCTAGTCTTCATTTGAAATTAATTCGCATTAAAAGTTTAGCATTGAGGTGTTTTGATGGGCGTGAGCTAACGTTTGAATAGTCTTCACCCACAACCACACCACCCATCAAAATTCTGAACGAAGAAAAGAAACTTTACCGATAAGCGAAAGTTCTTTCTCTAGTTTAAAGTATAGAGAATTATTGGATCCTATTTTACGGGCATATTGTCAACAAATAAAATATATTATCATCAATAGCTCATCATTCATTTTACTATTGCTAAACGATATGAAACTAGATGTATCTACAAATGAAAGCTGCGATATAATTGTTTTTCAATAAAACTATATGTTGCTAACGAGTACGTGGTCGCCCTAGTCAACTCTCCCTAGAAGAATCCCCAGGGAGTCCCTAGGGATTTCGTTCTTTTGCGGGGACTCCCCGGGGAGTTATCTGGTCAAAATCGATGAAATATCTAATTACTAATAAATTCTTCTTAATTTTTTAAAAATTAAAAAAATTAAAAAGTTTTTTTTTTATTTTAAAAAATTTCATCAATTCTCCTCAGAGAAATCCCCGGGGAGTCGTTGGGGGAGAGTCGATTAGAGATTGTTTCTGCCACATCTTGGTTGCTGAACATTAAGTACCCAGGTCAAACAATCAGACAGTAAGATCCTCTACGATCGTACCTCTGATCTTACAATATTATATAAGATCAGAGGTACGATCGTAGAAGATCTTACTGTCTGATTGTTTGATCTGGGTATGATAGTTTCTCTGCAGCAAATACTCAAGTATTTTATTGCGTTCATCCGTTACTTAAATATTGAAAAGAAAGATGCAATATACTGCATAGTTTCCATTGATGTTAACCGTCATATTGACGGTGCAACTGTATTCAAGTCTTTATTGTCAACTCATCAGTTTAATTCACAGGAAGAGACAACAAAACTTGATCATGGCTTATGATGCCATAGATTTTGATCTTGAAAATAGCAGTTCAAAACCGTAACCTAAAGTTAAATGCAATAAAAATAAAAGATAATGCTATATAGTTACAGTTTATATACTTTGACTTTAAATGAAACAAAACAAAAGCGCAACTATAACTGTTAAATATGATAGGTCATGTTATTGTACCATACATGTCAAGTATTCAGTTAAATAATTTGGCATAAGTATCCCAATTCAGATCGTATGAAGCGGTCTGAATGAGACAGTAAATGGATACCATACAAGGTATCCAAAGCTGTTCCTACGATTTGACTGATGTTATGACTATAGATATCCCGTAATAGTAGTATATAATCGACAATTCCATAATACATTTCATTGAATACTGTCAAGTAAACAATGATAGATAGTTTCTGTCAAATTTGATGTCAAAAAAAACATTTGATTCTTACAGGTACTTGACTCAACAGTTAGAATGAGCTCTGTAGAGAGTAAAAATATTTAATTCTTAAAATATTGTGCCAACGACACATCATAGCTTAGTTTTGGTCTTTTCTTTCGAAACCTAGAAAAAAACGGTGTGATCAAAGCAATAATATCCTATATTGTTCAATAACTATGCCAAATTATATGCAACAACTGAAACCAAGTACGCATAACGCAGCTAACTGATTATAACAAGGCTCTCCTGTCGATCGCTGATTCATCAAAAACAATTTAGAAAATTCTTTTTTCAATACAGTCCCGTCTATGAATTCTACGTCTTATTGTATCCGCTCATCGTACAGTCTCTCTCTTCACGCTAAAGACGAATTATGCAAATTAAAAAAACACCTATCTGTATACATCACTTTTGCTACAGTCAAAGATTTGTTCTGTTGAAATTTTTTTCTCCAAACATGTATCATGAGCGAACCGATTTGAATCATGCTAGATATTTTGTATGCAAAATTGTACTGCTATATAAGCTATCAAAATTTAGTCTATAGTGTATGAAATTCGTTGAATATATCCCGATAATGGTTGATACATTATTCAATAAGGCATTGCATACGCAGCATTTATATTTGTTGTAAATTAGTTCCTACAGGCGTCGCTGGTTATGGACAGAAAACGTCTGGTATTCGATGGACATAATCGGCTTGTTGCGTGCTTATAATGTCATTGGCGAAGCATTCGGTTCGTTTGATGGGTGCCAATAGTAGCTTATGATTGACAGCATTGCGCTCATGAGTAGGCGCACCTTACCCATAACTATTTATTGTTGATAAATTTCTATCGAAAAAATAATATTGTATTCTTAATTTTGCCATGCCTACTTAATAATATATGATATATTTATTGAGTTTGTAATTTAATTAGATAATGACAAAATAATTATAAATATAATCATCAAATAAAAATGGAAACAACTGCAACATATTCACTTGAAGAATGTATTAATCATATAGGCCTAGGAAAATATCAATGGCGTTTAATTACAATCCTGGGATTTTGTTCAATGGCTGACGCTGTGGAAATGATGCTCTTAGCTATTTTAGGGCCAGCAATTACTTGTTATTGGCCTGATGTGACAAAAATTCAAATGGCAGCATTAACTACTGTAAACGTTCACAATAGTATTCTATGAACGTATCATTATTGTTACTTTGTAGGGTGTCTTTGCTGGTATGATGGTTGGCGCATTTACATTTGGTATTATAGCTGATAAATACGGTCGCAGACGAGTAATTGTTCTAAGCGCAGTTTTAAATACTTTATTTGGAGTATTTACAGCAGTCGCGCCGAGTTATTATTGGATATTGATCGCAAGAATTCTTGTGGGATTTGCTCTATCAGGGGCTTCTCAAGGGTACGTGATAAATAAAAAACAAAATTTTATAACCGTTATTTGAAATCAAACTAAAAAGCACGATAGTCTTACTTAGACCATCAAATACAGACTAATCATCTAGATGTAGATACTTTCCTATTGAATTTATTTGACAAATAATAAAATTAATTCAAAACAATTTTGCCTATTAGCATATAAATATTATTTTCTTAATAATCGATTTTATGGCTAATGTTTTGATTGCTCAATATTGATAAATACTGAGATATTTCATGTATTTATTTTTAGTTCAACATTAATGCTTGAATATTTACCGTCGGCAACTCGTGCAACGCTCATTATCGTTGTTGAGCTATTTTGGTCATTAGGTAGTATATTTGAATATGTTTTGGGTATGATTATCGTTCCATTATATGGATGGCGTGTGTTAACAATTCTTTCTGCTTTACCAATATCAATTGTTGCTGTTTGTATGTATGTAAGTATTCCATTAGTCTCTTTAATTATTCAAAAGATTAATTTTTTTCTCTAAAGTTCGTACCTGAATCACCACGTTATTTCGTTGCTAGTGGTCGTCCAGAAAAAGCTGAACATATTTTAAAAGCAATAGCATTAACAAATAAGCGTTCTTTGCCACCTGGAAAACTTCAAGATGTCCATGCTCAGGTTAGTTTAAAGACGCGACAATTCCAAATAATATTAAAATGTTTCTTTTCTCCTGTCATATTAGGAAGAATGTGGTTCACTAAAAAATTTGTTTCATGTGAATTATAAGCGCACATCGTTTCTACTTTCATTTATGTGGATGACAGTAGCTATGAGTTATTATGGTTTAATCTTAATCAATACGTCGATCATGACATTACTTGACGATGCGCATCACTCAATAGGGAATACGAGTACTATTAAACCTAACGAATGCAAAATGTTAACCACTGAAGATTATCAGTCATTAATATTTACAACATTTGGTGAAATGTTAGGTATACCATTATTATTATTACTTCTTTCAAAATTTGGTCGTCGTGTCGTCTGTTGTATAAATTTCTCATGTGCATCATTTTGTTTTTTATCATTTCTATTTATTTCTCACACGAAGCCATGGGTAATCAATGCGATTACATTTTCAGCACGAATGTTTATTAGTTCACAATTCAGTTTAATGTATCTCTATACGATGGAAGTTTATCCGACAGTTATTCGCGCTATTGCCGTTGGATGTGCATCGTCTATGTCAAGAATTGGTGCTATGATAACGCCATTTTTAGCGCAAGTTTTAATTAAACACACATTTAGTGGAACTATTGCGATTTATGCTATAACCACAGCTATGGCAGCTATATGTGCTGTTCTATTACCAATAGAAACTAGAGGACGTGAACTGAAAGTAAGATTTTTTCTTTTACGTTTCTGACCAACGTACAAATGGCCAGAAGAAAGATTTCTACTGGATATAAACCATCTGAAACAAGATAATATTTATTCAGAAAATTCACGAGTTTCCTGCAGGATCCAAATATGAGTTCGAATTCATAGTAGATTTAGTGAATATATCAGTCCTATCGCTTGTGTTACCAATTCATAAGTGAAAAACGATCTAAAAACAATTTAGTAGATACCCTCAAACTTGACGACGGCGACGGAGGGAGAACATGTATTTATCTTGTAGGAGACAACTTCATTGGTATCCAGATCAACAGGCCAACGAAGGATTAAGTCTCGAAAGAGTTAAATGCCGTTTTTGGGTATTTTAGTGATTTGCTATTTGTTGGTGATGCTCTATCGATATTTTTCTTTTTCTTGCTAAATCGATGATTATACTCGAGAATTTGATTTTTAATTTTTGTATATTTACTTTTAGCAAGCCACGTCGGATCGAGCTAATTCATCAACAGTACCTGTAGATACTACTGTAGATCCTTGGGCAGCAGCTGTTGATAATTTAGCATCGCTCATGCATATAAATGGTAGTGTTATAAATGAAGGATATCAACCGTTAATACAAGACAATCTCAGTGATGAAGAACTGTCATAAAATTCCAATAATTGTTATTTTTTGATTTTTTAACGTTATTCTTTTTCGACCGGTTGCTAAAAAAATTACAATTTTATTAATCAAATTATTTTTTCTTCTGATTCTCATTGAGGTGGGTTATTATCGTTGACATGATAAGCGTCTTCATTATTCTGAATATCATCGGTTGTTACATATCATAGATGTTCCATTTTGTTTTGCTATTGTGGATTAACCAGGAAAATCCACTTCAAATTGGACATACGACATTTAGTAGAATCCTGTGAAATGTAAGCCATTGCCTACAAGTCTCATATCTTTTAAAATGACCTGAAAACTTCATTCTTGAGTTATTAAATTTTTAAAATACGATTCTACACCAGAAAATAAGTCAAAAACACAACTTTTTTCAACATTCGTTATCTATAGAACAAAAGATCTTTTTCACATGGAAACAACTGCGAGAGCTATTTATAACTAAAAATTGTGTAATTCGTTCTTTTTGTCTAAACCTTATCAAGAGCACAAGTCGTCTATTGCAACGATCATGAATTGACAACAATAGAGCATGTTTAGAGTATAATGGCCAATTCATAGTCTCGCTACAAATTCATTAAAATTAAATATTGTACAAAATATTTGAATTACATCGTATGACGTAATATAAATTGAACACAAGCAATATGAGAGATCTACATTTTTCTCGGTTCTGACAGAAAAATTAGAAAAGATAAGATTTCTCTCAGTTACAATCGCTTAAACAATATAATAGCCTTGCTTCGTCAAGGCCGTTTAATTGTGAAAGGGAAAAACAACATATATCTTCATAATAACAAAAATATTTACCTTTCGTTATCTTGAAAAAACAGCATTAGACGCTCCAATATTTTCTTGAGGCGACGTAAGATTAAGAGGTCAAAAACTCTTCATATCTTTTGAATGCATGATAATGGTGTCAAGAAATATAAAACCAAACTTTAAAACTATAGAAATAATTAATACATATAAATCATCGGACAATATGTACTAACGAATCGAGTCATTTTTTTCTTATTTGCGTATTTTGCAAAATCCGTTTTCTAAATATTATTAATTGAAAACTCAGACAAGCTAACTACTTTCAGATCCCTCTACTCGAACAGCTTTCTATTCAATTGTAGAGAGCGAGAGAGAGATCAATCGTTGAAATTTACGCGTTTTTTTATTGCGATTGGTAATCAAAAATTGGTTTTACAGCAAGTTGCGCATTATAAATATGTAATACATCGTGTGCAATCTTTCTGACGTCTACAGTCGGTCGATTCATATTAGTAAAAAGAAAAACGGTTCGCTCATCTTCTGGAACACGAACGATCATCGTTCGAAATCCCTGCCACGATCCACCATGCTCAATAATCCGCATTCCATTAATTGCTTCCAATAGCGACCAACCAAAACCATATTCATACGTTATATTACCATTTAATTTAACGGGACTCCACATTTCATCAAAACTGGCTTGTCTCTTGAGTAATACATCGCTGTAGAGAGCTTCATCCCATTTAACCATATCATAAATGTTGAAATAGAAACTACCATCAGCCATCGTATTGAATATGGGCGACACCCATGGCTGATTTATGATGTGATCATCGATGAACACGTATCCAGAAGCACGGTTCGGAATGATGCTTGTTTCATTTATAATTCGTGCAGTTTTCATTCCAAGAGGACGAAAAATATGTTCGTGAATAAAATTAGCATAGCTTTGATTTGTTACACGCTGAATTAAGAATCCCAACATTATATATCCGAAGTTACTATAAGAAAATTGTTGGCCTGGCTGATAGATGAGTGTAGTACTTTTTATTATGTTGTAAACATCGTCCTCAGTATAAGCTTGCTGGAAGTTTAAATCGGGAGAATATGAAACCATTCCTGAAGTATGCGTTAGAAGATTTCGAATGGTAATATTCGCCCATTCGATCGGTGCGTCATGGAAATATTTTTGAATTTTATCGTCCAATTGAAGTTTTTCATGTTCAACGAGCATCATGATAGCCATCGAAGTAAATTGTTTTCCTACGGAACCGGACTGAAACATTGTTTCAAGTTTGACAGGTACTTCATGTTCGAGATTTGAATAACCATAAACCTTACTAAAAATGATTTCTCCTCGTCGAAAAACACCCAGAGCAACACCGGGTATCTTCTGTGTTTTCATCGCGGTATTGATTACTTCATCAATCATAAATTCAATTGCATGATCTTGCTCTAAAATAATTTACAGGGTGCTCAATAGATAACACTTCTATTAAAACAAACATCAAATATCTCAGCATCGACTCAATTAGATCTTTTGGTCTTCTAGTTAGTTGCCGAAATTCATTCGAATTCTTGGTTTTCATAGTTATCTAAGAGGACTGTAAAAAAAAGCTACAATTGTAAATTTTCGAATTTTGCAACATGAGCTAATTCTGATTCTAAACGGATATTAGTCTGTTCCGACTGGTGAACCCATTTTATTCTTTCATCTGGATTTTACGAAGTCAAATAAATGAAAGTTGAGAATTATACTATCTTACTAGTTGATTTAATTGTTTGAGATGCGTGATGTTTGCTTCCATTGATAGCATCAATAGCTAATAAAATTATAGCCAATAGTAAAATTCTAAACAAGTAAATCTGGATAGGTTGCTCATTTGTGAAGGACTAAAAAATTTTACCTGTGCGTGTCCTTTATCATCGTCTCCTATATCATTATGATAATCTGAAGCGAATATAGGAATCACTCCTTTTTATTTTTTTCTAGCTTGAACTTTAAAAGAGATTACATCGAGCTGCTATAATTTTTCTTGATATTTACCGAAGAAAACTAACAGAGGCAAATACAATAAAATTATCCGCGAATCATTTACAATAATTGTACGTGTGCAAAGTAATCTTATTTCGCTCTGCAAACATGAACCGTAGAGCTAAGATGAAATTCAATATTTAATTGAAATTCGTTTTTCCAAAACATGTAATTTCTTTTATTTAAAACAATCAAACACAGTCTGCAACAGAAAATCATGGTATATAATGTGAAATAAAGCATTTCATTCTGACGCATAGATATTGACTGGCATAACCAATGGCCATTACGTGTGTACAGTGAGTTCGAATGTTGATGACGACCAATAGCTTGATCAATGCATCTCATGATGTGCATTCAAGTTCAGAATAACAGTATCCAAATCATATGTTGTTTTTATTAAGAAGTAATTTCATATAATTATTGACATTGATAACTTCAGATCTGGTTCAATTAAATACAATATCGATTAGTAGCCAAATGTCGCACGTGGAGGCTGAGAGATTATTCTGGCGATTTCATTCCTACAAATCAAGAGACGAAGAGTTCCACTGTCTACAACATAGTATCGCTAGCTAGCAAATATTTTGCAGCTCATTATTATAAATATGACTTGGATACATCAAAGACAGTAGTAGAAATATGTTTTTGAATACAATCTGTTCTATAGTTTGAAACACTTTTCATGTATCAGAGTACAACAAAATAAGTTGTGAAACTAGCTGTTGCAAAAGTATATTCTCTCAAGATTAAAAGTCTCATTTAACATAAACTTCACCGATATGTATCAGCATCTTGAAATTTTAATCGTCAGAAAATTATATTTGAGAACGTTAATATTGTTCAAACAATATCTTGTATAAATTATAATTTACTTACGCCAGAAGTCGCACACTTTCAGGGTCAATAGCCAATGTAAATAAAGGATAGATGTTGTACTAGAAATTTCGATAAAAATACAGAAAATTCGATGATGCTGATCATACCATATGTTCGTTTGTGTTCATCTGAAGGAATTGCGATAGTATATATTGAGCTGCCTCATTGTAGTCATCACGGCCGGTATAATCAGGAGAGTATCCTCTGTTGTTATGTATGATGCAGTTAGTAATAGAAAGCACAAACAAGAAAAAGAATTCTAACCTCAAGCTTGAATGAGTGATCTTGCTAGCGAATATATCTTTTTTGTTTAAACAAAGAAATATTGTTGACTCTCTTAGCCATTGTGCACGACATAATGAATGGAAATAAGCAATGGATTCTTGCATGGGATTGTATCCGTTTTCATGATCAACCTTACAGTAGGAGAAAACAAAACGACAGAAACTACAATAAATAATTCTATCTTTTTACCTGATCGTAGCAACTGAGATCAACTATATTAATAATTGCTGGTGCATCTATAAAGTAGTTGAGCCATCTGTTAGCGTTAGACGTGTATGACAACTTAGTATACACATCAATAAGCCATATTGTAATTCCTGTGTGTTTTGTTTTCACAGAATTTCGATCTATGCAACTAATAAATAGTGGATCATACCTGTGTCTAATTGGCACTTGACTTCGTTCAAATTGTTTTTGGTTGTGTTACCAGCGTGCAGAATATCTTGTTCCACGGGGGTATAGTTATCATTCAGAATTTCCATTAATCTCTTCAGAAAAAAGTGATGACAACTGTCTAATCGATCCTTGTGCTGTTTGTACCAAATCTTAATATCAACATCTGACCACAATCGTTTTAATGCATTGGATATTTCCGAAGGAAGTTTACAACCATTATTAGATAAGTTTGCATGCCACAACAGATTGTCGAGAACTGCGAAATAGAGAAGATCAATGTTTTCATAGCTGTTAGTATAATTCCTAATTATTTATTATGACATCGATGATATTAACTCTACTGTATCTTGTGACTGTTAACTCACAAGTCTGAATTGATACGATCCATCGCCGATTTTGTGATAATATCGACTGAGAAATTTAAAAGATCTGCTAGAGCAAAGTCTTAATCAAAAGATAAATATTGAACCGTGTCCTGTAGAAAGTTTCCTTTTCAGCACTATTGAATGATACATATGATCGGATTCTCTACGTCCATCTATACAAAAAAGACGGACGTATGAAACGTAAAACATTTTCATTTACATCGCTCGCACGGTATTTTTCTATTCAAGAAATATATTCTGTAAAATGATAGTTGAAATACTTACGATAAGAATAAGATAAAAACTTTAGCTTTAGACATTGATCTTTTTTCATTTCTTGAATAATGGCGATCAACGAACGGAACACTTCCATATATATTCGCTTTCTGCACTCAAGAATTTCCTCATTTAATAAATTAGGATTATAAATTAAATCCATATGATGAATTAGAGTTGTTTTACCAGAGCCATAGATACCTAAAAGATTTCTTTTAATGATTTGTTTAATCAATTATTCAACATACCGGATACAAGACATTTTATTTCGGATTTTTTCTTTGTTAAATCACTTTGAATTTGTCGATCGATCCAACGGCTATGTTGCTTTGCTTTTTTCTTTTCACGAATCTTGAATAATTTGGCTCGAACTGTATTTCCCATGCTATTTGATAGTGTCTATGAAAATCAACGAGATGAAATTAAAGTTTTTTACGCACTTAACAATGCTCTATTGAAGCATCGTTGTAACTATGCAAGTACGAATCAGCTTACTTTCTCCAATACGACGCACGACCAGTAATAACCATCGGAGAAAAACGCTGACAAAAATAAGAACGCAAAATGCAAGACGTGCCTCGTGTAGCTTTGGCAACACATTATTTTATATGATGCAGAACGAGCTGACAATAAATATTTTCCAGTATTTTGCTTTTTAAATAGTTCACCACTCAATCCTCACGTTTGCATATGAAGCAAATTCTAGATGAATCAACAGAGAATTTTCTTTCATTGAAATTACAGTGTACGGAAGCATTATTTTTTCTCAAGCCTCAAGAAAAACATCTAGATGCTCTGAAATATACTTATTAGTCGGTATATGATTCGTTGAATTTCACAGGCATAGTTTATCTTTTGACAATATTCAAACATGTTTCATATAAATTTGATCAACCAGTCCGTCATGACTTTATTAAAGAAAGCTTCTCAACAGTACATTTTAGATCAATATTATTAAAATAAAATCTATCAAACTATTTATCATGCTTTTTTCCGCAATATTTTGGGTGTAGACCTACCAGTTAAATCAATAAAGAGCTTCTTTTATCATTTTTCAATAGCTCTATATCGTTTAACAACTTATCGAATCACATATCATGTATGAAAATCATGAATTGGTTATAGAATGAGAGGAAAAATGTCTCCGAAATTCGTTAATCCTTTTCTTTGATAAGAAAAAACAAATTAGTTTTCTCTTATTCAGCGTTTTTCACGTGAATTTTATTTTCAATGTAAAGCTCTTGTCTTAAAAATCAAATGCAAAGCTTGACTCGCGAGTTAGAATTTTCTACTTATTAGAAATGAAATCAAGATAATATTCTAGTGTTAACAAACATTGTGACACAATGACGGAAATTAAAAAAACCAAAAATATTGCTTGACGGATTGCGCGTTCGCTTGGGATCGTCAGGAGTCGAACCTGATTTTTCAGTTTAGCAGACTAATATACGACAGTGTATTACGAAGAAAGCGAATCGCATAGGCCACCAATTAATTATAATTCTTTCGATTTATATATATATATTTGTGTTTGATTGAGATGGTGCAATAACTCTCGATTGTTCGGTTCTGTTCGTAGGAGAAAGCAGAACTTCAAGATGATTTCTTTTTTTTATACGGTAAAAATTGTTGATTCATATTTTGATTGAAAATATTACTGTTGAAATAGTACGCAAACAAGGTCAATGGACATTTCAATAAATGATTTGTAAAGCTTTTCATAATGAAGAACGTGCTTCGTTTTTGTTCGCAATGTGTGCGGCATGTTCGAATACGTTATCAGATTATTGGAGATACACTCGTTATCTGAATGCTATCATACAAGTGCCACTATAAATAGACAGAACAACTTACTTTTGATAGAATATACACTCAAATCCATGTATTTGTACATAAGAAAACAAGATAAACATATTCTAAGTTCCTAAATATAGAAATGCTTCATGTCCACAAAGAAGAATCGGCATGTCTTGTTTCAACAAAACAAAAAGAGAAAAATGCCTTTACAATATTATACAAGAATGAAATATCACATTTATAATGTTGTCTGATTATTATTATTGTTTTCAATAAGATTCGTATTTATTTGGTGGGATGAAACAGTCTTATCTGTATTGCTATTATGTCCATCGTTGCCTTGCTGTTGTGTCGTTATCCACGTTAGTCGTTCTTCATAGAATCTTATGACAACTTGTGGACATTTTAAATTACAAATTCGAGCTGGTACAAGGTCAGCTTCAGCAGTACCTTTCCATTGAACCAACAGCATTAATTCGCCCTGCAAAGAACAAAAACAAAAGACGAGAAGATATTCTACCATTATTTCATCATTTTTTGTTCTTACTGTAGTATCTGTAGCCCCAAGGATTTTTTCTGCTTCTAAACTTCGGTCAAACGCAGATGATTCTTCCGTACGTATTGACGTTTGTTGTTTAGAATAACTTCGATGTGCTAATGAATCATTGGGTGGACGACCACGTTTATTAGGCACCGGAGCTTGATCAAGTGATGGTTTACGTTTAAGCGATGTTGATGGTTCCTGAATAAAGCGAGACTTTTGCAGCATGCGATTCTCATATTCTTCAATTAGATCTGGACAATCTAAATTTTGTTCAGGCTCCTAGATAATATATATATAATCATATTAGAAAAATGTTCAAATAAAAACAATAAATTTCTCTACCCAAGTATTTTCTTCTTCAGGATAGCCTTTCCAAGCTAGTAAATATTCCTTTCGTCCATTGCGAAATCGATGAGTAACAATACGTTCAACAATAAATTCCTCAGCATCTACTCCAACAATTTGCTTATCATTTGCACTAGTATTCATTGTACTACCGACCATACAACTCTCGATAACGTCAATTAAGTAAATAATTGAGAAAAAATCTAAGTACAAAAAAGAAAACGTAGTAATGCAGTGAAAATTCACCTTGAGTTAGTCGTGTTCCAATTATCGAACCAATCAAATACGAAAATGCACGGAAAACGAATAATATGGATGAAAGAACAAACACAAAGAAAAAAATGAAAGCAAGCAAGCAAGTGAAACGACTACTCGTTATTACACTACATCAAAATTAAACCAATGAAAGCTAAGATTGTTTATAAAGTATAATATTTCAATAAATTGATAAATAATATTATTTTAAAACAATTAAAAAACTTGTAGAAAAATGTTTTTCCGTTATCGACAGTACATTTTGCTAAATAGATGTCACTCATTACTCGCTGTAATTCAATGAATACTGTTGGTGAACCTCGAGTAAATAAATGGACATACAGATATCTAAGTAAATAAATAGATCGACAATATTCGTATCTGAAAAAATTAAGATATACACTTGTAAAGGTAATCAAACGATTGTTTTCTTATTAAAAAGTTCAACAGTACTACTTCGTCCAGGGAGGCTAATCATCTCCTGAAAACTGAATATAGCAGAGAAAAACCCAATAAGCCTCGGCAAATTCTATTTTTTGGTATGTTAGAAAAAATGTCCAATAGAATAAACTTTAAAAATTAATGTTTACAAATATTTCTGAAGACAATAGAACTTTAAATTCTACCGCAAAATCATACGATAAATTAACCTTGCATCCTTCGATAAGCGTCATCCAATACATATGGATATTTTGCATTTTCTTCTCAACTCCTTGTAACTTAATCTTTTTTTCTGTTGGGTTAGGTATTGCCATAAAATCGTTCGTCTTTCTTCACAAATCACACATACGCAGTATGTTCTTTGATAAAAAAAAGAAAAGAAAATTAACCTTTCGTAGCGGTTTCGTAAGTGTAATAAAGTTTCGTTTTTTTTTAAATGAACCTTTCACTAGATGCAACGTGTAGAAATAGTACTTAGTGTGGCTGATAGTATAACTATTGAATATTGATTTTTAAAGAATGTGATTAAGAAAATGACACTTATAGTCCCCTTGAAGTTTACCTAGTGGTGGTGGTAGAACAGAAGAAAAAAAAGCAATTATCGAATGTTAAATGGATTTTTTTTCTTTTATATTAAACGAAAAACAAGATAGTATCATGCTCTTATGATGTATAGGAAAGTTAAGTCATTTTTAAGATTTTATTCTCGATATCTAGCGATACGGTTTTTTATTCCACCTAGTAGGTAAAGAAACTAAATGAAAATATGACGTTTTTTTTACAATTAAACAGTACAAAACATGCCCTTCTATCAGTTGATTCTATCCAGCTGCCTTTCTGTTGAAAAAAAGGGTTTGCCACACCCCCTTATTGGCCCCATATCAGTATCTTTGTTGCTTCTTCATGTAATTGACGTCGCTGCATTTTTTTCGTTATATGCAGACCTTGACGAGGAAGAGAAATATACACACAGCAAAAGAACCGTTTTTATACGTAGAAATGATCGACGTAAGGACGATCGATCGTGCGATGCACAGAGAAGCGCTGACTTTTTTTCTTTTTCATTCTTGATTAACGCCAGTATTTTCGATGTATGTGTAACACTCAGTTCTCTTTCTATTATGTGGCCCTTCTGTACAGCGAAAGTACCGCGCACTATGAGTACGGGTATATATATATATAGGGTAAATATATTTTTCTATCACGAGCAACTATATACGTTATTACTGGCTGAGAAAATATAAGACAGATAACAAAAAGTCACTGTACCCACACACACCTTGCCTTGTTATTCGAATAAATGGCACAAACATTTTAATATTTAGGTTTGAATTTCAGATATGTCGATTTTTTCGCGAGCTGCATCTAGTCAACCCCGATTGATAAAATTCAATAGTGGTTGGAAAAATGTCTTGTGCGTTAAACGTTCCCTTCAATCAACATCAACAGATTCTACACCGTCAACTATGGAGCTCGGCAGTGAAAGTCAAGAAGAAAATCATGGGTAATGATTGTTTTGTTGATAAATTTTTGTTTTCATTGAACTCCTTCAATAGAACGGGTTTTTATACGATGGTAGAAAAATTCTATGATCGTGCTGCAAAAATTCTTGAAGATAAATTAGTTGACGAAATGCATAAATCAAAATTGAGCGAACAACAAAAGCGAATGAAAGTTCGTGGAGTATTAACGATGATGAAACCGCCAAATTATGTGTTAGCTATTACATTTCCAGTACGTCGTGATAATGGTGAATGGGAATTAATCGAAGCATGGCGTGCACAACATTCCTTACATCGTACACCGTGTAAAGGCGGTATCCGCTACTCAACGGATGTAAATTTAGATGAAGTGAAAGCATTAGCAGCTCTAATGACATTTAAGTGTGCCTGTGTTAATGTACCATTCGGTGGTGCAAAAGCTGGTGTTAAGATTAATCCGAAAGGTAATAATAAAATCGAACTTGATCTGACAAACAGAAAAATAAAGAAATTCTATTCATCTAGATTGGTCTGAAGGAGAATTAGAACGTATAACTCGGCGATTGACAGTTGAATTAGCGAAGAAAGGTTTCATTGGACCCGGTATTGATGTTCCAGCTCCAGATATGGGCACTGGTGAACGTGAAATGGCTTGGATTGCTGACACATACCAGTCAACAATTGGTTGGGAAGATATAAATGCCATGGCATGTACTACCGGTAAACCAATCTTACAAGGTGGCATTCATGGACGAACATCGGCTACTGGCCGTGGTTTATACCATGGTTTAGAGAATTTTGTGAATGAAAAATTTTATATGGATAAAATTGGTTTGACAACGGGTCTCGCTGGAAAAACATTTATTGTGCAAGTATGTTTAGTTCGATAGAGATTTATTTAAGATTCTATTTTATTCAATAGGGTTTCGGCAATGTTGGTTTTCATTCAATGCGTTATTTGACACGACATGGTGCGAAATGTATCGGTGTGCTTGAATGGGATGGAGCTATTGTTAATCCTCAAGGTATTGATCCAAAAGCACTTGACGAATATAAATTTGAAAATGGCACTATTGTTGGATTTCCTGGAGCAAAGCCTTATGAAAATCCTGATAAACAAGAATTACTTTGCGAACCATGTGATATTCTTGTTCCGGCTGCTAGTGAACAGCAGATTACATGGAGAAATGCTCGTTGTATCAAAGCTAAAGTAAACTTTTAATTTTTGTTTTAATTTTTGTTCAATGACATGAATTATTAAATAGATCATTGCCGAAGGAGCTAATGGTCCAACAACACCAGGAGCAGATAAAATACTTCTTTCCAAAAATGTTCTTGTGATTCCAGATATGTATATCGTAAGTCTTCCGTTCAATAGGATCAATTATATAATTTATAAAAAAAATATTCTTGCTTTTTAAATAAAGAATGCTGGTGGTGTTACGGTTTCGTATTTTGAATGGCTTAAGAATCTCAATCATACATCTTATGGCCGATTGACATTCAAATATCAACGAGATACAAATTATGCACTTCTCGGTAAATTTAATGATGAATTTCGTTTTAGAAAATTGATGAAACACCATCTAAAAGTTCTCATTAACGCTTTCACGGTATAGAAAAAACGGGAAATAACTCGGTAATACTTCCGCATAATCGATATTGAGGTATGCATATACTGTCGCTTACAGGCTATTAAGTTATAAAAAAATTATTTTCTTCTATTTTCAGCAGTAGTTGATAATGATTGCCGCTAGTAAGAATTAGAAGATTTATTTGCTGTGAACAAGAAGAAAAAAACAAGACAGCAAAAACAAATCCTCTTGAAAACATTGTATACACGCAATAGATTCTTGCATTCTGTTGATGCGTGGAAAAAACTTCTCTGATTATTGACTTAGGATTCAGAAAGTGCAACATCCAATGATTCTACTGGAGCATATGTTCATGTAATAAGATGGCACCATCGTGAATACGCTACAATTTCACGTTATTCATAACATGTATATATAGTGACAGGAGAATTCTACTATAGAATAGGAGTATGACAGTTAAGTTTTAGTTCCTATCAAAAGAACTGCTCGAACACTTCTCATGAACTGATCTGCTCGAACAGTTCTTTCGTTCATTTGATCGGAACTTAAATCTTAGAACTGTCACACCCCTACTATAGGAGACAAGGAGATCCAAAATTGTGATTTTTCAATACATATCATTTCTAAATTCAAAAATTGCATTACAGCTAACTAGTGGCGTAACCAGAGGGGGCTGAGCCCCCCGCCACCCCCTACGGAAATTTCTATTTTCGAATTTAATAACTTAGTGACCTTGGCATTTTATCAATTGAACGTTATTTCCAAATGAATTTTGAACAAGTTATTAATAAGTTTTCAATTAATCATAAAAATAGTAGAATTATGTTACAATACTTACATTTGTTCTTACCGAGGTCAAAAAGTCAGACACAGATCTTGTAAGATCAGAGGTACGATCGTAGAAGATCTTACTGTCTTATTGTTTGACCTGGGTATGTTCGGTTTGTTTTGTTTTCATAATAAAGGATTAAATATTTGAACTTCTATATTGTCTTATGCATTGTTTCAGTAGAATTCAATTTTCTTTTTATACTTTCAAATATCTGGGGGTGAACCCCCCCCCCCTCCCCTACCAATATTTCCTGGCTACGCCACTACAGCTAACATCTCTCAGTGACTAACAAAAACAATGAATAGATTGTGTTTCACAATTTAATTACAACAGAATTTTACTAGCAATGTCTCTTGTATAAAACCTAGAAAGTGTACAAAGTTCATTAGAAGCCAAGTTTGGTAAAATGGGTGGCAAAATTCCAATCGTAAGCAATAAGTTGTTTTTTAGAATAACAACAAAAATTGTTCTTTTTTTCTTATAGAATCCAAGCGACAACTTTTTTAATCGTATGGCAGGCGCATCAGAAGTTGACATCGTTCATTCCGGTCTTGAACAAACTATGGAACGATCAGCGCAAGCTATTATGCAGACAGCTAAACGCTTTAATTTAGGTTTAGACATACGCACAGCTGCTTATGTAACGTCACTTGAAAAAATTTATAATGTATATTCAGCTGCTGGCATGACATTCGGTGTTTAAAATACAAAATAATGAATATTGACATATATATACATGCACATGACTTTTGGTTTTTCTTTATCAGATATTTTTTATCTAAAAATTAGATTCAAACTGCCGCTAGCAAAACACTTCTCCATTCTAGATTTAAAGAAAAAAATAGAAACATGTTTAACGCCGTCGTTCGTAGTAACAAATCGTTACATCGATTTTCTAGTGTTTCACTCCATACATCAGCAGTATTGAATGCATCCAGTCAATCATCTACGCAAGAAAGTCCACCAGGACATTTTGGATTTTATCGTCAAGTAGAATTATTTTATGATCGTGCTGCAAAAATTCTTGAAGATAAACTAGTAAAAGATATGAAAAAAACCAAAATATCTGACGATTTAAAACATAAAAAAGTTCAAGGCATATTAAAAATTATTAAACCATGTAATCATGTACTTGAAATGCGTTTCCCTATTCGACGAGATAATGGGGAATTACATATGATTGAAGCATACCGTGCTCAACATTCACAACATCGTACACCGTGTAAAGGTGGTATACGTTATTCATTAGATGTCAATTTGGATGAAGTGAAAGCATTAGCCGCTCTAATGACATACAAATGTGCCTGTGTTGATGTACCATTCGGTGGTGCAAAAGCTGGTGTTAAGATTAATCCGAAAGGTAATAATAAAATCGAACTTGATCTGACAAACAGAAAAATAAAGAAATTCTATTCATCTAGATTGGTCTGAAGGAGAATTAGAACGTATAACTCGGCGATTGACAGTTGAATTAGCGAAGAAAGGTTTCATTGGACCCGGTATTGATGTTCCAGCTCCAGATATGGGCACTGGTGAACGTGAAATGGCTTGGATTGCTGANGGTGTTAAGATTAATCCGAAAGGTAATAATAAAATCGAACTTGATCTGACAAACAGAAAAATAAAGAAATTCTATTCATCTAGATTGGTCTGAAGGAGAATTAGAACGTATAACTCGGCGATTGACAGTTGAATTAGCGAAGAAAGGTTTCATTGGACCCGGTATTGATGTTCCAGCTCCAGATATGGGCACTGGTGAACGTGAAATGGCTTGGATTGCTGATACTTATGCATCAACAGTCGGTTGTGATGATATTCATGCCAATGGTTGTGTTACGGGTAAACCAATTCTCGTCGGAGGTATTCATGGACGAACGTCAGCTACTGGCCGTGGTTTATATCATGGCTTAGATAATTTTCTCAATGAAGCCTCGTTCATGTAAGTAAATTGTCGAGATCGGAAAAAGGAGCTTGGAAGCAGAAATCAAATTGAATTTCAATCAACCCTTTTTAATAACTGCTTGAGTAAAACAAAATCCGATCGTTAAATTTCTGCACTACTTTCCGATGGAAACCTCACGGAATCAATGATTTTCGGATAATTAATAAAATGATAATTTCTCTTTAGGGGCATGGTTGGCCTTCTACCTGGCATCGCTGGTAAAACATTTATTTTACAAGTAAAAATAGAAGAAAAATCTATTGTCTAAATGAAAATAACATTTCTTATTAAGGGTTTCGGTAATGTCGGTCTTCATTCGATGCGCTATTTGACAAGACACGGTGCAAAATGCGTCGGCATACTCGAATATGATGCAGCTATTGTTAATCCAGAAGGAATCGATCCAAAAGCACTTGAAGATTATAAACTTGAAAATGGAACAATTAAAGGTTTTCCAGGCGCTCAACCATACAGCAAAGAGCCTAAAGAAGAATTACTTTGCGAACCATGTGATATTCTTGTTCCGGCCGCTAGTGAACGACAAATCACTTCGGAGAATGCTCATCGCATTCAAGCTCGAGTTATTGCTGAAGTGTGTTTATCTTTTTGCTATTGTTATCAAAACAAAAAATGGAAATTTATTCATGTTTTTAGGGTGCCAATGGTCCAACAACACCAGAGGCGGATCAAATTTTATTGAAGAACAATATTCTCGTAATTCCTGGTATGTACAAAAAATAACCGTTTGAAGAATTATTGAGTTTTGCGTCTGCTTTAGATTTGTACATCAATGCCGGTGGTGTTACAGTATCGTATTTCGAATGGTTGAAAAATCTAAGTCATGTTAGTTATGGTCGATTAACATTTAAATATCAACGTGATACAAACTATTCATTACTCGGTATGTTCGTTCGTTTTTTCCCTTCGTCTCATCTATTCTTATTATCGATTTCTTTTCAGAATCAGTTCAAAGTTCATTGGAAGCTAAATTCGGTCGTATGGTAAGTCTATATTTTATAATTATTAAGCGTATAAATCCAATTGTTGCTTTTTTTTCTTAATTCTAGGGTGGAAATATTCCAATTGTAAGTATAAAAAAAGCGTTTCATCGGAATGATTTCAAAATATTGTAATTTTTCTCAAGAAACCAAGTGACGAATTCTTAAAACGTATGGCTGGTGCATCGGAAAAAGATATCGTACATTCAGGTCTTGAACAAACTATGGAAAAAGCAGCACGCGCTATCATGCAAACATCAATCCGTTATGACCTTGGTCTTGATATTCGTACAGCAGCATACGTAAATGCTATTGAAAAAATCTATAATGTTTATGTTAGCGCTGGTATTACATTTGGATCTTAATCTTTCTTTATGGTCTATTTGCTGATTTTATAAGCAAATCTACAGGACAAAAATAAATGCTTACATTTAAACAACTTTTCATTGTCTGTCTTTATTTTCGGTGATTTTTGTTGTTCTTGTGACCCATTATATTTTAATTTTACGCATTAGATTTGGTCAGTGTCTATTGATTAATATTGGAGCATCATTAGTAGAGTTCATTTAACAATAAATGTAAGAAGAATTCGAACGGAATTTATTTTATAGGAAATACAAGACTGATTTGTATTAAATATGAATCATCGTTTCAAGAATAAATCTAAAAATCTCCAGTTTACTATTCAGCTAAATCTCCGAGGTGACGAAACTAAATTCAATTTCAGTATCTATAGGATCATCAGTTAAAAACAGTATCGACAAAGCAACGTCGTATAAATATCTTAAATGAGTCGTACACACAGAATAAAATTCATCTCAATGAATTATTATACATTTGTTTTGTCATTAACGAATGCAAAGAAAAACAAGCACTCTACTAATTAACATGCATTCTTATTTTGGTTTCAATTTTGTTAATGCATCTGATGGTGTTTAACTACCAAATACTAATTGATCAGATCCGAATCGAACAATTTTAATCAATCGGCTCTTTTCGAAACATCAGTTACGTTATTTACATCTCAGTAGATTGTTGAGAAGTGAGATTAAGTTATGAATAAATCCAATTTTATTCATTTTTTCGCATAGAGCTGATGAAATTTTCATTGTCAGATGATTTTAATAACTACTAATACAATTGAGAACTTGTTCTAATGTAAGATTGTACAATATTCAAAGCAGCTTCAGCATTGAAGATAATTATGAATGAACACAACAGATTAGAATGTCACAATGAGCGTCTCAAGTTTTATGAAGTAGCTCTCAAACTTCGAAATATACTGATAGTGAGACCAAGATGACAAAAGAGAAATAAGTTTTATACGCATAGACTAGCCGTAAGAGCAGCTGTATGCCATAATTTAATCTGCACTCTATCAGATGAATGCTCCGAGACTAGTAGTCTCTGTTGAGTTGGTTTATAGCCATTCTATAGCAAGTAGTGGCATGGTTTAGAATAACATATCATTGTCCCTACGGTCCCCGAACTTATATCAATTGCTCGTACAATGCAAAATAGAATATATTGATATGACTGGATTCTTCAAAACAAACATTCATTAAAGAAAAGAGAAATAATCAATATCTCGCTCGTTTTGTCAATAGGGACCCTAAAAAACATTTCAATTCATTGGCTACTTGAAGAATTCGATTAATGTTATTATTCTCTTTTGGAAGGAAACCTAAAATCACTTGAAACAATCTTCCGTGTGATAAACAACTCAACAAAACTCTAGCCTATGGTTTATTAATTATTATCTAATAGCACCAAAGAATTACTGAGTTGAAAATAGAAACGATTATTCACGTGAAAAGAATACTTGCAAATGTCGGGAAATGAAAGCTGTCTAAACATTATTATCGAAAAATCATTAAGAAATATGCTTTGAATCTTTTGCAATCATTCATTTATATTTTAAGAGAAATTACCACGCCCTCAGTGACAATCACAAAGAAATGTACTTTACTCTTTCTATCGTGAAACTTATTTCGTACTGACGAAACAGCTCTGTAACTTGATGATCGATTACTTTTTTTTCAACGAAAACTACTCCTATGATTCGATGATAAAGAAAGATTTATTTTTCCTTTATTTCCATAGTAGGGAATCGTTCCTTTCCACCATAGAGTTCATGCATCTGGTTTTACTTAACATTAATAAAAATATCTAAGAGTTTCTTGATCACCAGAATGATATGTGATAAAACTTTAGCCAAAATCTCCCAGATCAGTTCCAGCATATGTTTATTTTCTATGAAAGTTTTAATTGTACAAACGTTTGACAAACATGAAAATATTATCAAAAGATGAACATGAGAAAAATATGTTCTGAACAAAAACTCTCGACGCTTTAGTTTATTTTTTACCACGTAGTAATTATTCTACCAACTCATGCGTTTGTTCTAATAACTGCCTTCAGGCTTACATATATACAAACTAATCATTCGTTACGTCTTTTTGACAGATGCACACTAACAAATGTTAGCATGTTCCCCGACGAGTTATGATAAGGTCTTTGTGTGATAGTAAACAAAATTTGACGATGAGCGGAATCAAACTCATCGTGCGTTTTCTTTCCACACAATTAGCATCGTTAGAAATTCACATTTTCATTCAATAGACTAAACAAAAATAAATCGCGAACATCATTGAAAAATCTTGTTATGCTTTTAAATAATTCAGTAGAATGAGAATTTTGTTTTTTTTCAAAGAAGTAAATTCACTCAGAACATCGTCATGAAAGAATCGTCCATAAGTATGCCAAGGTGAAGGAAAAAACTAGTGTGAATAATTCGTTAAAAACAATATGCTGATAGGATTAAACGATGGAATCGCATCAGTAAGTCTCATATAAACTGTTACAAAATGCGTATATATATGATCAACACTCAAGGCAATGCATAGTAGCTCGTCGACATTCTTGAGTGAGAAAAAATCTAATTATAGAGAGTATTACATAGATGTAGGCATAGCTACATTACTTGATGGACAAACAGGCGCACAAAAGCATCACTCAATAAGGCAATATTTATTTACACAGCATGCTCATAGAAAAATAAACGCCCATCAATCAATGAGCAGAGTCGAGTGGCATTATTAAGATCTATGAACAATCGAGGAAAAAAAGACTTGCTAGATTTCATACAAAGTTTAAGAAAGAAAAGTAGATCTCATAAGCCTTACATGAAAAAATAAATATCCGATTAGTAAAAGAGATAATTAATATATTTGTTCATCAAAAATTGAAAGAAAAACATGATTAATGTCTATATAGAATAATTTCGCTTGCATCATTCACCTGGATCAATTTTATTTTTCTTTAAATCCGGCAGAATTTTCTCCAAGAGATTATATTCAGCGGCGTCAATTCTCTTCTTTCCAACTTGTCTCGCTGTTATTGCTCTTGTTCTATTGACAATCAATAGAGCTTGATTAACAGTAAAATGGCATAGTCTTAAAAGTAAATATGTAATAGTGCCAGTTCGATGTAAACCGGCTGCACAATGAATGATCATTTTAACGGGTTCTGTCACGGTACTATTCAAAAGTAAATCCCGAACGGTAGGTAATTGTTCAGTAAGCATATCGATTGTTGCTTGTGACGATGTGAAAACTGGAAGATTGGCACCTTCAATAGGTATATGTAATGATTCAATACCTGCTGATTTGATAAAATTACAAATATTTGTTTGGCTAACTTCATGATGATTCTGTAGGGTTAAGATGTGAGTAACACCTAGATCTTTTTGAAATCGTTTCAAATCCCGTCGACGTGGTAACGACCAACAGGCTATTTGACTATAAGCTGAAATAGACACAAATTGAGGCTGCCGCGGTGCAACTATTGATGGAATGGATTCATGATCATCACGATCGATAAAAAATATTTCGCCAAGAAGATTATCTCGAATTTTAGTAATCAATTCTTCGTTTGATTCATTTTCATTTTGAATTATAATTCTGACGTTATATTTATATGATTTTTTATTGGATGAAAATTCTTTTTCGTACGATAAAGATGATAGTTCAGTATATTGAACATTTTTTAAAAGAATAATCATTACATATTCACTCCGGAGGTAGTTAATACCTGTGGTTAAATAATGTTCAATCATAGTTTGGGTGCATTGCGATGACACAAGAGAACTTTCTTTTGATATTGGTAAAAAATGTTTCAAACAAATTTCTTCAAATAATTGTAAATCTTCTTCATTTTGTGCAATAATACTTAAACCGAAATTTTCATTTTCAAATAACTTTTCATCTTGTAAAGTTTCTTTATTATTGTCCATATTAATGAAGTGTAAAATTTCAAATAAGGCGTAGTCTTCTAATGATAAAATATTTCAGAAAGATGATTGTTCTCAGCACAGTACATTTAATCAACGTGACGTGTTTTTCCTTTCTTTCTTTCTTTCTTTCTTCATCTTTCACAACACACGACTATATATGATGCAATGCACAGTAAAAGTGAATATAAGACGAGAAAAACTATGCAAAAACTCACTTAGAACGAAAAAAAGTAACATCTAAACAGTATGTATATTTATAGTTCAATTTCATTTGTTTGATATGAACTTTATTTTGTAATACAAGTTCATCTCACGTAGTTTTGTTAAAAGAAACGAATAAAAATAATTCCACTTGCACACGTTGACTTTCTCTGTAAGCATCATTTGATTGAGTCAATCAGACATATGACTAGTGCTTATCAACTGGCATCAAGTAAACATGTGTCTTTGTCCAAAATCGAGCGCTAAATTTCATTCATATTTAATCTTTCATACAAATGTAAATGTATACATAAAGAAAACTAAACTAAATCGAATACTGTAATAATATTAAAAACTGAAGATTGCATTACAGAAGAATTCAATGATAAGAAGATAAGATAAAGGATTAGATGATGTAGCTTAAGATTTATATATATATATAGATGATCACCGGTGGCTTTAATATTTTCTAATAGAAGGGAGAAACAAAAAAAAAGGCGCTAATCTAGACGAGAGGTGTTGTTGTTTTTTATTACAAGATACATAAAAAAACATATCCCTGTTTTTCAATAGTTAATAGTTGTTCACTAGTCGTCATAGGGTGTCATTTGAACAATTTCATAAACTTCATTATTCACATGAAAACGTAATTTCGATTTTTCCGATTGTAATCCACAGCAGAAACAGCAGCTGAGTATTGTTGTAAATAAAGTTGCACTAATAGCTGCAACTATTAACCAAAAGCCTAAACCCAATTTTTCAGCTTCAATAAGCCACGGATTCAATGCCACAACTAGTGCTTCAGGTTGGTCTAATTCATAAGTAAAATCAGGCCGATAGAAACGGTCGTGTATCCATTCATATAAGAATATTCCTAAAGCACCAGCGCCACTTAAAAATGATGCCAAAGAAAATAAACTAACAAATGCAAATGGGATTGAATAGAAACGTTTAACACAATTTATACAGAACAGAATTAATAAGGCCAAAAATGTTAATAATGGTGCGGCAACGAACAGCAGAAACATTACATAATAACGAATGAGTTTTGCATAGTTATGAGAATGTTTTGGAGAAGATTTATATGGTGATTGATGAAGTGGGAAATCTTGACTACCAATCCATGTAGATTGCCATATACAATTTCCTTTAGGCCAATAGTAACGTGTTTGTTCCAATGAATAATCGCAATTTATCTCATCAATATATGTTGGACAATCGGGTTTGTTATCGCATCGTTGCATCTAAAATGAATATAAAATATTTCTATGGCAACTCAGCAGGTATTATTAAAACTTACACAACAATTTGTCTCTGAACACATACGTTTTGAATCATTACATCGATCGCAAAATAATGTTGGAGTTCGCATTGATCCATCTTGTGGCGATTTAACAGTTAGTAAATTAATCCATCTATAATCTAAACAATAACCAAAGAGACCATAATGTGAACGAAATGCATGTCGAATATTTTGTAGTTCGAGTTTGACATTATTCTTAACTTCCGATTGTAATCGTTTTTGACTTTCATTTTTATGATAACGATTTATTAAATTTTCATCAAGGCGACTCCAACGTTTAGTGGCAAACGAAAAGCAATAAAGACCAATTGATGCAAGCATTGGCAAAACAATAAGCATAACAAGTATATTGACCTTCATCGTTGAACTTTCTTTTGCTTGTCTCTTCTTTTATGCTAATCTAAAAATATGAAAATGCTGAATAAATCGAATATAGAATGCGAAGCAAAACAAAACATAGAGACACGCACAATTGGTATCGTGTAAAGGAAAAAGAATAAAAAAAAGAAAAACAAAAAAAAATATGGTGATCGTAATGGTGTTTGTAGATATGATGATAGCTGCTCCTGCTGGCACTCAGTATGCAATAGCGACGTACTTTCTTATGAGTATCTCTCTATTTTAGACTCTGACACATCATCATTCCACAAATGAGGTTTACATTCCTCTTTGGAGAAATTCTTTGTTTTGTGGCTACAGCATCCTAACCTTTTTCTTTCTCCCCTTCTTTTTCTCTCTCTCGCTCTTTTACAAAGGATTGTTGTTCTCACAAAAACAATAAACGAATGAAAAAGGTTTTTTTTTCGTACGATCGTCACATACATACACGTCCTTTAAACGAACAAAGACGAGACATCAGCAGTAGTAAGCAACAATGAATTATGTTGCTTCTCTTTATGCTCAATCAAATAAGAGCGCAATAGAACGATGCATAAGTGGTTACAGACCATATGACTAATATACATGATGTCTTTTGTTTGTAATCTGAACCCTCGTTTATGATTGTCCGTCACTCATATCCTTCATATATATATGTATCCAACTAAGTCGATTACGTAGTTATTATCATCTACACAAATGTTGGCATGCATAAACACGATGAATGATATGAATCATTCATTTATATATGTATGTATACATACATACATTGTGTAAAAAGCTGATAGTCTAAAATCTATGTATGTATGCCGACGATAGACAAGGTAATTTGACGGAGACTGACAAGAAAAGTGCGTGACTGCGAAGCATCGCGCTTCTTACGATGTAAGATGGTGATACGTACATTTAGTGATTTATGACTGACAAAAAACAATGATGGCTGACAAACTGATGAATTTTTCCCCATAAAGAAAATAACAGTACACAAAAAAAAGATGAAACTAGGCCTTGCGAAAATTTCCCGAGCTATAAAAAATGCGACATTTATTATTATCGTATCAGTAAAAACTAATGAAGCGATGCACACCAAGAAAAACAAGCTAATAATACAAGTGATAACGCGAAAAATGCAAGAAAAAAGAAACCACAGAACAGTAGAGGTAAATAAAAAAATGTAGCCAGCTGCGAAAGGCGAAAGAGAATGAATGAGTAACTGACGAAACAAGGACGCACAGAAAAAAAACAAATCTGATATAGACACCAATCATGTCTATATGAATGAGAACTGACGCGTACGATAGTCAGGCAGATTTTTTTTATCATGATACATCGTGTAACTATCGTAGAACTTGATTTTTTTGACAATAGAGGATTAAACTATGGCGACTACCTTGCGTCGTCAGTTGCATTTAAAGGCAATTCGTTCAAAGCGAACCAGTAAATATGTATACCATACATTTTTCTTTATCTACTTTGGCAGTTATCATCAAACATGAGATTTATGTGAGCCTTGATCTTCTCATTCCAGATATTGAGCTATTCGATGAGCAGAAGTAAGTTGAGAAGATAACTGAGATAGTAACATTTTAAGTAAGTTGTAATGGTTATCTGCACATATCAAGTCAAAGAGAAAAGGTTAAGCACCAGAACACATAATATTCAAGGTTTCGAATACGCAATTATTTCACTAACAAAAATAAATGATATTTATATTCTCTACAGAAATTAAAAAGACCGCGACTAATTTTTGTTTGCTTCGCTATTTTATTCATTGTTGTCTTTTGATCATTAGAATTCAACAAAGCTCAAGGGAAAATTTTTAATGTCTATCACAGGTTCTAATTATATATAATTTTATATGAAAAAGAAAAACCTTGTCTTTTGTATTACGAACGACAAAGCAGCCGCACAAGTTGTCGTCATTTTCTTTTCATACTCGGCTGCGATAAAGTCAATTGACAGAATACGAATAAAATGAATAAAATCCTTGATGTAATCACATCTGTGATGTTAATTGTTATGGTGAAGGTATGAAATTATTCAGGAAGCGCGTCGTATGCGGTATGGATCTAGAAGCTTATATCTTTCTTTTCGGATCACGTGGATCCAAGTCCAAACTTTTACTTTTTTTTCTAGATTCTTGTTGACAAAAAGAAATCACTCTTGACATGACGCCCTTCCTGTATGATTCTTAAGTGTCTCACCATTTGATGTATGTCGCTCGTCGGAAGCATTTCTAGAAAGACATCTTGTTTTATTGATTAAGTGTGTATGCTTTACAATCATCAAAGTCTTTTAGCGGAACAAACAAACATACAGAATATAATATCTTAAGTTAGAAAAATTTTGTTCGGTTTCAATAGAGAAATATTCCAGATGTGATTAAAACAAATTCAAATACTGAATAAATGAAGATTTGTATCGCGTTTTCTTATTCAATCATCAGAAACGTGCAAAAGTCAATGTTACACTCACGTTTTCGACCGTCGAATTGAACGACACGCCTGTCGAGAAATATGAAGGACGGCTAGCGCCATCTATCGATTTCTTTATCGATTTGAACATGTCAGCATCGGTCACATGACAGCGAATGAAGGAAGAAAAAGAATGAGTATATCATCATTCACTATATTTCTAGTTACAAGCAAAAATACTATTTACTTAAACTGAATCAAAATGACGGATATACGATCAGTTTCATCATCATCATCATCTTCAACAACGTCTAACAATGTTAATCATATAGCAAATTCGAATTCATCGGCAATACCCGATATTGATAATATGAATAATTTAACAACCTATGTAAGTTAGATCGAATAACATTCTCTGTTTTACTTCTTTGATGCTTAGGTAAATACAATATTTCGCCAAATGGAAGAAAAATTCATGGCTACTAGTGATCAAGTTATGAATCGTATGAATGAATTAGGTCGAAGAATTGACACACTTGAAACAAGCATAACAGATATCATTTCGTATTTACCAACAGAAAAACCAAATTCAACAGCACAACAGCAATCAAAATCATAAAATCAGACATTTTCCATCTCTGTATAGATAAAAATTATTTGCAATATAACCTATTTTTGTTGTTCTAACACTGGCATAATGTTTTTCATTCTTACTAAAAAGAACAACTGTAATGTCTTGATAGTACTTTGAATACCCTATTATTGAATAATAATAGTCGATCAATATGTATATTTCTATTTGATTATCACACAACGAGGCTATTTTAATGTTGAAAACATTATTTAGGCAATACTTCTATATATAGAATTAATATATTGTTTGTATGATGAATAATACGGCTTATTATCTTTGAAAGAATATTTATGATCATATCCGTCCGTCGCATTATGTCTGAAAATATCTGATAAGAGATTTATTATGGTCTTGTGGGTGTTCGATTTATTAAAGACTCGCAACTCCCGTTGTGAATTCGGAGGAATAATAGATAATAAAAAAGCAATGTTACAGAAGGAAAATATGTCGGAATTCTATCTTCGTTAATGACTCTGTCGAGTAGCTTGTCAGATTTTGATTTATAGAAAAATAAAATGCTTCGATCCTAATCGATTAAAATAAGAAAATGAACGAAAATATTTCGTAATTTTAAACTGGCAACCTATTAGAAACGTCGATATTAATATTAGTGTGTCATGTAAAGCATCGATTGATAGACATTTATAGGCGAAATTCTTTTCTCTCGGTATAGACAATGACGGATACTTATGTTTATCAGACTTATGCAGATGTAGATCTGAATTTCTCGTTAAAAATTGTAGTAAATATCAAAATGGTATACTACAGAATATAATGTTTCGTTTTGATATAGAATCGATGGAAATGATCGATAAAGATTTGAATGTTTTTTTTTCATTGAGATAGCTGTTACTATTTACGATAGTTTCAAGCAAAGAATACATGAGTAATTAATTAAGTGTAATAGGTATTAATAACAATATTTTCATGTAAATAATACTAGAAGCTCGATTGAGAAATGTGGCTTGTGTATTGAAAGGTCTAACAGAAGTTTTATCTCTAGCAATTGTGGCAAGCTTGATTGATACATATTTCGATTCGATTTTATTGTCATTAGAAGAAGAAGAAAGGGCTTTTTAATAGAATACAGCTTTTGTCCAATTAATCATTGCATGGCCTTGTTTTTATACAGCTAGAAGAAATTATAGTCGAGTTGGAGAAGAAGAAGATGCTCGGCGCACTACTTCCCACGCTCTTGTCTTCTTATTTTTCAATTATTAATGATGAAAGTTTTACTTGTTGTTTTTCTGAATATTAACTGAATAATCGTTCTAATAGTTACCGATACAATTATTGTGTGCAGTGGTACTGATTTCTAGTTATTACTGTCCTTGAATCGAAGTCAATGCAATAGAAAAATGGCGCAGGAAAATTTATAATTGGTTTCCATCAAATATCAATGAACTAGAACAAAATGTATACATAAAATAAAGATTTATATCAATCAATGAAAGCAAATAAACAATCATAAATATTAGTTACAATTTCAACTGTGTTTACAATATCATCGCAGGAATACACATATGATCGTTTAATTTTTATGCATATTCTAAATCAGAAAAACGTAAGATACTCATCTCAACTAAGACTTGAGTATGTTCCATCAAATTAAAAGATAGTAATGTAGCAATATTTCAGCGAAGCCGATTTTTTAATAAAATAATGATAATTAAACCCACATGCAACAACTCACGATCATTGTAAAGTTCATCCTGAATTTTTGTCAATCATTCTTTGCTTTTAATTTACAATGGTGCTTATGATTAAAAATTAAGAATACGAGATGCAGTGGCGTAGTCAGCAGGTTAGCAATTGGGTCATTGTCATCTAATTTTTTTTATGTGGGCAATTGCCCATTGTTACAAAATATAAAAACCTGTGCACATTTAAAGATTTAAGGAGTGTTTTATTTCAACACATTTTCTCTTGATGAGTTTTTATCAAGTGATTTACAAAAATAAATTTGCAATCTCTTCCAGTTAAGGAATGATCACAATAATAATTCATTGATATTATTATTTTTTTTTATTGATGTTCATTATACTATTTTTTCTTCTATTTATGCTATTTCTTGTTCTATTGATATTTATTTATGACTTTTTCAAATAAAATATTCAAATATATGAAATTGAGAAATACATTCCGAAATGTGAGGGGAAACAAGCAACAAGTTTATCTGTTAATGCAGATATTTAAAACACAAAGTTATTGCTAACTAGAGTTTGTAATTACCCACTATTCCCAGATAAAGGAGTCCGACAATCGGATTCCGATGAATATCCAATGATATACGACTGGAGTAATCGATGGCCCTTCCGGCACTAGGATTCAAATAAGATTCCAGTCGGATCCTATCAGTCTCTTTGGAAATGACTACACTCGTCTATATGCATCTCAAAACTTTGTTATGGGCCATACCACCACTCAACTAATAAGATTCCTCCTAAATTATTCCCAAAAAACAATGTCACTAGCTATTCCACAGAAACTACACGCGCTATCACCCAACACAATCCATCTCAAAATATGCAGAAATAAGAAACAAATGCATGAAAAAATCTATTACTACATTTCTCAGAAACATACTTCCATTAAATAAAATCAATCACATCAACTTCGCTTTCCAAGACAAGAGCATTTGTCAAAAAAAAACTGAACATTAGAATCTCAGTAATGCAACTGCTGCTGAAACAGCACTGCTTTAATTTTGCAAAACAAAGTTTTTGCAATCTAAGACAATCTAGTAGTGCTGAAATAGGGCTTAATCTAATAAGCTTGAATAATTGTGAGATTTGTAAGCAGTTAAAAGGCGGTGTGTGTGCGTTATTGTTTCGCGACTGTGATACGTTCGGCAGAAATGCTGCTGTGTTGAATGTGGAGTAGAAGATATGTTCACCGTTCCCGAGCATTTCGAAGAAAGTGGAGGCTCTTGATGTTGCTAGTTGGAAATGAAGCTGGTAAACGGAGGTGACATGTACAATCGTATAGGCTTCTAAAATGCACATAATCTCCCGGTGTGACGTTCGAAGTAATCTTTTATGGTTTTGGATAAACCTTAGCTAGTTTTTTTCGTGACATGAAGGAGTAGTGACTTCAGCGTGATATCTCATCAGGTTCCATGGTTCGTTTGGAAACTATTTTATGTTTTTTTTTGAAAGCCGTTTGACACGTACTTCAGGTGGATACAGGGAAGAACCTTTTAGTTTTTTCGGTTTCGCTGAATTTGTTTTAATTGTATTTGCTACTCAATTTCTTTATAGTGTATTAAATTGTGTACTCATCCTTTAGGTCTGTTGTTCAAATTAGCAGCTGCAATATATTTTTTAATTTCTTATTCTTTAGATGTTGTGTGGGTTACCATGGCATCGGCGAATAGTCTACACTACAGCATGTTATCGGGTTTTCATCGGATTCTTCGAGATTCTATTAAAATTCAGGGGATCCGATAAGAACCAAGTGTAGGAAATCTCTTTGGATTATTAGTGTTGGAACCTGACGTGCCCCATAGTAACTTGGTGATATCTGGTAGGTTCTTATAGGAATTTTGTAGGACTGTCCGACCCATGAGATCCTACTGAGTTCGTCTATCGGAATTTATAGGATTATCATCGGTTTCTCACTCTAGGACACGAGAAGTTCATGATAACTGTTTCCCGTCGGATTCCGACACTGGGGATCCAACTGTAGGTCCTGAACCAGGATTCCGATGAAATACTTATAGGATTCTATTGAAATCCTATGAGATCATACAGGAACTCTATCGGATCCTATTGTCTGATCGAAGCTACTGGGAACCAGATCTTTTCTATATTAATAGAATTTGTTTATCTTTTTTAAAGACAAATCATTAAATTCTAATGAAAATTTAAACGACAATGATCAAATATCGATTGGTATGTTCTTTCCAAAAACATCATATTAACAAAGAACGATTTTCTTCATAGATAATGACCAAAACAATATTAATCCAATATATTCACGAGAAATTCATAATCTTACATAAAATGTACGGCATATAACATCTACTCAACCTCAAATTAGCCACAACCGGTATGAATACATTTTTTTAATATTTTTAAAACAAATACATCTATAAATAATCAAGATTCATAAGATTTTAATGCTAACGATAATATATTTAAAAATATTATCTCATTAACGAGCCATATCCTCTGATTACTATTCAAACAATGCACAGGTAAAGTACAATCGCACTTAGATCAATAAATCGCACAGAAAATTCATATGAAACACCACGTATTCCATAGAAAAAAAATGATCTATCTTTCACTCACCTATAGAATTCTTTCCGTATTCACCTAAGCTTTTCCCCGATGCTCCTATTTCTAAATATAGAATGCTATCCCAACTTTCACCAATATCGAAGTTCTATATAAGCACATATTAAGCAAAAGTTTGATTTTTCAATATGTTTCTATTGTTTTACATTTTATTTTAAAAGAATACTTTTTATATGAATCTTATTATTTAGACTTCAATAATTCTCTACCAACATTTTCTTATATTCAAGATTCAACGATTTTTGAATTTGACAAATTTTAAGAAAGGAAAAAAACCAAAAAGAATGCTCGAAAGAAAAAGTACACGCAAACGAAAAACTAAAAAACAATAAATGATAACCTAATGTTTCATTCTTCGATTCATCTGCAACTAAACTCGCTTAATGCACATCTATGCTACATATAATAACTTTGCGCTTTCGCATTTTTCGTCTGTTATGTATTGTTCTTGTCAATATATAGCTTAATTTAATCGCATTTTTTTTTGATCATACATCACCTTTGAGTGTCCTATTAAACGTTTTAATCATACAACCATAATAAAAACAAAATCAAAACTGTCTTTCCAACAAAACCCAGCAACATCAAATTGTTCCCTCCGTTGAGATTTCTCAATTTAATCAATCTTCCAAACATTAGAAAACACACATCTATACGAAATTGTTTTTTTTATATACAAAGCAAAAAATCAATGTCCCTATGTCCAATGTCCCCAGTATTCAAATAGATCCAGCGAAAATCTTTTTCTGTTCTTCAACGAGAGGTAGAAAAAATCAATGTGTCTATTTCCAAAGGATTAAAAAACTCAATATCTTCTCAAAGTCTTTTTTTGTCATCAAATCAGCAAAAAAGCAAAACATCAATTAATTATTCAAACAGAGTCATTTGTTTTAAAGCTATGTATTGAACCAATGTATCTCATATAGCTCATTAACAAAATGTTATTTCTATAAATCACTCTCATGATATTCATACAATCATAAGAATTCCAATCTCCGCTGGATTCTACATTCTCCTGTCACATAAACACAACAATCATTGCCATCATACAACTCTCACATCAATTCGTCAACAGTTACAGAATGAAATCATACAGTATCGAATACACCCCGGTATGTTCATACCCTGAATCATAGGTATCTATCAAAATGAGCGAAATAAAAAATGTCGAATTGAAAATGCCAAATGGAAAAAATAGCGAAAGCATTTGTAGCGAAATAAAAAATAGCAAAAAAAAACATTTTTATATTTTTAGATTGCTAAGATGAAGATTTTATATTGTTTGATAAAATTTTAAATACATCAAAAAATGAAATGAATCAAACATAATTAGTTATAAAATTAATAAAAAGAAATATTTCTTCATCTATAAGTTTATTTCTTTTGATTGGCTATGATGAGTGAGAAGGCATCTAATAATTCAGCAGCACCTATTTCAAAAAATCTTTCTGTATATTCGTATATGTATGTACACACTGTATCCATTTCTTTCGCAAATCCAATATTTGTTTTATTCGATATATAAAATCGTTTAAAATTAGCAGAGGATTGCCTTTATTAGAGGTAGAAAAAGATACGCTGCATGTATTTGATGTCATCGAAATTTATACTAAATTAACAACAAGTGATATGCAATGGAAAAAATAACGTATGGCGTATCTTTATTTCGTTATATCTTTTGTGTCATTTGTGTTTATTCCGTTAGTTAGATTAGACGATGATACCATTGACGAAAAACGCTAGCCAGTGAAAATAGATAATACAAGAAAACGGAGGAATAAAATATCACTAACTGAATTTTAAAATTCAAAAAAAAATATGGAAAAATATGCTTTTCGCTATTCTCATGCGATCGACATTTTATTTTTCGCTATTATTGTGTTCGACATTTTTTCAACCGAAATTTTGTCTTTCGCTCATTTTAATGCCATTCCTCTTCTCATCCTCGTCCTCATTGCCGCCGTCACTCTCATTCTCAATGGATTGTGTCATCTAATCATTCTCTTAGATGAGATGAAATTGTCATCATAATAGCTATTCTTACCCCCACTCTCAAGATACATAGGATTGTCAAAAATCTAACGATAGGAGTGAAGTTAATGTATTTGCAGCAAAACAGAGCCATAGATATTAATTCAACCTGCATAGATGTATCACGTTTTCAACAATTAGAGCAAAAAACGACTTATTCATGATTCAAAGTATATATGGTAGGCGAGTATCACATGAAAATAGTAATATTGATGATTGTGAAAAGTGGAAAATGTGCGAATAATGATAGCCAACGCACACATGTATAAATCACACCAATTAACCATGTACATTTTTCATTACACATTTTGCATATTATTTCTTTTCAAGTTATGCTTCAGTGATTTTGTAAAATATTAACAACAAAAAACATAACCCTATCTGAAGGTGAAAAAAAAACGTTCTTTTATTTCACTTTTATTACCTGTGGACGCATTATATAAATCCACCACCAAACGTATTGTTTACACAATGTTCGGCACACGATCTAGGTAGTATTATTTTCAAAAGATTCAATATGAGAGACTAGATACTTAGTATAAAAGTGAAGCTCTTATGTACATTACTTCCAATAATTTTCCATTATATTTTTTCTTTATTTAAACAAAGATAATATCTTACATAGTAAAGTTACAAATTTTAGGATACATCTTTGTTGTTGATGTTGAGCATCATTTGATTCGCTTGATACATTTCTTTAATAACAAATTCAAGTAAAATCAACTAACCCAAGTATTAGTCGTTCGAAATCAACTGTCAATAATCACAGTATTCGCTAAAACATGAATTTATTTTTTTGATATCAGTATTAGTCGCAGTCAATATTTATTTATACGATAGTTCACTGATTTTATCATTTGTCGGTTACATATCTATGGGCAGAATTTTTAAACATTGAATTATATTTTATATTTTAAATCAAGATTCTCCCATGTCATAGATTGTTAGGTGAGTCTGGCAAAAAGATTTAGTAGCAATAAACTATTTTCCAGTACAAAGTAAAATTACTGATGCTTATCTAGTTTCTGCCTAGCACACGTACACACATTACACAGACATCTAAATAGGCCTGCTGGTTAGGTAATTCCGTCCGACCCCATTTTTTATCCTATTTTCTTTTATTTCATACTGTCTTCTCAAACTCTGTGCCTATTATAAATGATAGAAATTACTAAAAAGATTTTATGCTGGAAAACTCATTTGAATTTGAACCCGAGTAACATAATAAACCATAAAAATTGCTTACACTGATCGTGTCTCTCCTCCACATGTAGTGTTCTGTAGTGTATCAACTATGTTAATCAGTGTGAGAATGTGATCGACAGAAAACAAAATGCGCTGAAAACAAGTTATCTTCGAGAGCGCGAATCGTAACTAACACTTTGTCTAACTGTTCAATTTTGATTAGCGAGTGAATCCACAAGAAGCATGTCGTTTACTGAAAACAGGGTAATCCTATCGGTTGTGTGCGATTTTTCTAAGGAAAAGTTTTCCTTCAAATTTTGCCATCTATTGAAATAGTCCATAGTCAAAAACGCTCTTCGTGCTGAACGAAAACATTTTGATACGGAGAGTTTCAAGTTCGAGCAAGTCCTGGTATTCATAAGACCCAAGATGTTCCTAAAGAATGAGCTGAATCTCCGAACTTCTGGTATCAAGTGTTTGTTATTTCCATAGAGAAGCTAGTTTCAACTGCATCTCACCACACTGAATGATTAAAATATTAACAAGCTTTACACCCTGAAACATGGTATACTTCGTAGGGGTTTCTCCGAAATTAAAAAATCTATACCAAATAACATCAAGTTTGGTATAACGATCATTATTGAGCTAGAGTACTTTTCAACATGTTTTGTTTGCTTGTTTCACTAAACAAATAAATCAACGTATCTTGTATGAATACTATCTGAATTTCGACGATCCAAGCGGATTAATTCATCATAACACTGGTTATTGGTTCCAAAGAATGTGAAAGGTCGTCGACCAGTAACCAGTTGTTATTAAAAGAGAAATTTCACCTTACGGCATATATGCAAGTGACTTAAGATTACAAGCGACGATTATTTATACACATGGATTTGGAAACTCAAAGAGTTTTCCAGAAGTTATTTTAGAGAGCTGAGAACTACTAGAGTGAATATACGCGACTCATGCAGAAAGATAGATGCAGAGAACAAATGTATGTGAACATACTAGAATATAGAAGGTACTTCGATTCATCCATGGCAACAAAAAGCAAAAGCATATAGATGACAGAGAGGGTTACCGGAACTTCTCCAATGAGACTTTCGCCAACACGACATTCGCCAATGACGAAAGTGCGGGGGTATATTCACGAACGTCCACTGTACTTTCGTCAATTGGAAAAATTTCAGATGACGCATTGACGAAAGTACAGTAGACTTTCGCCAATTGTCACGAAACAATATTAACATAGGATATATATGATTCTAATTCACACTCCAATTGCCGATATTACAGTGGAGTCTCGCCACTGGCAAAGTTCTATTTGGCGAATTTCCAGAATTCCGACATAGATTTATGTAATCACGTTACAGCACGGATTGTTTTACACCCTGAGACTCTACATATCTAAATTCGTTTTTCCGTTCAGTGCTACTAGCCTCACCGTTGGCGCATTTTGTGGCATAGGTATCTTACTAATTCCGATACCCAGTGGTATTTTTTTATCTTTGATCCAAATATATTTACCCGTTCATGGTTCAACACTGCATTATGTGCAAAATCGTAAGTATTCTACTATGCTTCAATATTGTCAAATCGTGTATCTTTCTACAGAAATCCAATTATTTTACATGGAATATTCGGCCGATGCTGAAAATAAAGCCATTAGTTCCTCGCAATTTGCAGCTGATTCATCGAATGCACAAAAACAGGTATGGAAATAGGCGTTAAAACCAAATAATGTGACTATTATCGGTTTCATTTAGTTTAACGATGAATTTGGCCTTCCACCAGTTACCAACCAAGTTGAAAATACGCAACACAGCAATGCTGAACGCCGTGACCAGAAGTAATTTGTCAATCATTTAATTATCATTCATTGATACTTTTCCCATTTATTCATGAATAGCGTCCGCGTAAAAAAGAGCGACACAAACCGCAACCACTGGATGCTGTAACTCGACCAGTTCAACATTAAGCAATATTGAGCTGGTTCAAAATTGTATTGCGCAGAATATTAATAAAAATCCAATAATCATTGATACCGATTCTGACATCGATGATTTATGGGCAATTCTTTATTTGATGAACGTAATAGAACTGAAACAAATAATTTCTGTTTCACTTATTCTTTGCTTCATTAAAGGGTCCAACAATTGACATTCTCGCAGTAACGACTGTTGGCGATGGATATAGGTAAATTATAATCAGATTTATGTTTAAATAATTCTCCATTTTTTCAGTGCACCATTATATTCGGCATCTAATGTTATCAGTATGTTAGGATTAGTTGGCTGTACAGATGGTGTAGCAGTGGGAAGTGGACTCAGGTTTTCACTCTCTGAAAGATCTATTGTTTTATTGTTAGGTTTTCATTTAACAGTACACCATCACTACCAAATGGTTTTATTCTCTCGAGCGCAATTCTCGGTGGCATTGATACATATCTGTCATCGCCCTCTTGTCTGAATCAATCGGTCAACATATATTTGCAACCGTCGCCATTTGATTCTGTTGAGCTGATTGTCTATGCATTGAAATATTCACAACAGCCAGTAGATGTTTTAGCTCTCGGGCCATTCACGAATATTGCTGCAGCTATCGTTCGAGATCGATCAATTATACCGAAAATAGGAACATTGTATGTCTCCGGTTAGTAGTTCAAGCTAGTTTCCATTTAATGTATTCTGTTGTCTATTGTTCAAGGTGGTCAGTTTAAAACATTAGCCTCTTAATCATCACTCTTACCAAATGCAAACTTAGGAATCTATCCGTATACGAGTAAAACATCTGGCAGTAGTTCAAATGTCTTCTTAGGTAAGAATCTATTTTTGCTATTGCGCCCAGGTCGAACATACACGGTCGTATACGACGGTAAATCGCCGTATTTGGCCGTATTACATGGCTCCGTATTACGATCGTAAATCTCCGTGCCGTATACGGCGAAATACGGCGCTTTACGGTCGTTTTTTATCGTATTTCACCGTATTACGACACGGAGATTTACGATCGTAATACAAAGCCATGTAATACGACCAAATACGGCGATTTACCGTCGTATACGGCCCGTATTTCACCGTATACGGACGTCGTAAAGCTCGTCCTGGGTGATCACATCGTGCATTTCAACAAGTGACGAACAAATTGATGAGTATTAATTTAAAAATGAGAATTTTTCAAGCATCTAGTGTATATGTGTTCTGGAATCGAGTTTGTTCTGTGGTTCACAATTTCACATTTGTGACTTTCTAACTGATGTAAATGTCAAGTAATTGTAAACGTCTCCCCATAACATAAGTTTCGACATTTGAAAAGTTTTTGAAGCCTTTTGTTATTGTTTTCATTTTAGAACTGTCCAAATTGCAAGAATTTAAAGTAAAAACTTCCTTAATCATTTTTCCTAACATGAAAGTATCACAAGTTTCACCAAAGTCTTTTTGAAAACTTATAAGAACTCTGTAAATCCCTCAAGTATTTCGACAAAGTTTTGTAATTGAAGTTTGAAAAAAATAATGCTACATAATAGAAATGCCCTCGAAAAAATTTGAACGGTTGGACAGTTTAGAAGTTTCGTGGTCTTCTCTGATGGAAGGGGGCTTATTTCGATTTATGTTATTTCCAATTGAGATGTGCTTGCCGTACAACGTGTTGATGACAGTGGTATCAAAAAGCTAGTTGCGATTCCATCAACTGTACAGAAACAGTTACCTACCAATATATCCCAAGTCAATATGAAATTGAAACAATTGAACATTACTTTATCACCATTCATATATGGATTAATAACATCGTTGGCGAAATGCACCAATCAATCAGAGTCGACCATTTATTGGTGAGTTTTTTTTCATGCTTTCTATGACTAAATAATAGTTTCTCGAGTATTTTTGTTTAGGTGGGACAATAGTGCAGCTCAGTTAATGGTTCAGTTGCAAAACAATGTCACAAATGGTTTTTGCACGGCATTCCAAAATGTCGAATCATTATACATTTTATCGGCTGATGCGGACCAGTTGTTTGGTCAAGGCTTAACCGATTTTCAAAATACAAGACCTAACACCAACGGATTATCAAATTACACAATATGTGCACAAACTAACTCGGATACGTTTCTCACTGAATTTTTGACCAAAATATCCTCAGACAAACTTTATTCATGTGAGAAAACATATGCAAATCGATTCGATTTGAAATTACAATCGTGTATGAGCATGTATGGGCTCGATTAAGCAGAAATATTGACAGACTATTCTTCAAAAACTTTCTATTATTTATCGTTTGCTCTTTTTCAAATTCAAGACACTGAGAAATGCTTTCAGCAAATTATAGATGTCACTATCGATACAAGTAGTAATTATAAAGTGCATTAGAATTAAGTTCGATTGCTGGATATATCTGGAAAGCTCGCTTTACGAGCGGAAAGACGCTAGCGTTAGAATTTTGCTTCCAGCAATGGTAGGATATCTAACAGAATAGTAGACTGAAAATATCTTCGAACAGCCAGAAGGCCCAAAAAGAATTCAATTGTGGTGGGTACGGTTGCGGATGACAGAGCTGCGAAAGCTCCGATAACGTCGCGGCTAAAAGTATCGTCAATTGGCTTGAAACACGGATGTAGATCTGTATGATTACCTAAAAGTGGATCTTGTTGCATTTACGAAAGACTTATATCAAGCACCATAGGACTCGTTTTGAGTACTAGTTAAGTAGTGATGATCACGTATGTTCGAAATCGAATGCTACATAGATATAACTTAAGTGTTGAAAGATAATCTAGCTAAATATTAAAAACAACCTATATGATAATTAAGAGACCATCTTGAGAGTGTGGAATGCACAAGATGACTCAAGTAGACCATTTTCCAGATTTCGAGCTTGCTCAAAGGTTTCATCAGATGGCTTGGGCTTTTCTATAGTCGTTTTATTGATCTAAATTTTTTTCAAAGAAATTACAATGAGCAGTATACTAATCTATATAGTCTTGCGGTATGTGGGTGCGCAGAGGTTGGATGCGTTTTAGCTGACATCACACATTTCGATTCGATCAAAGATCTTGGTAGGTGGAGCAATATCTTCAACTCGCTACAATAAACTTATCAATGTGGCTTCATCGGTGGCCAAAATGTGGGACTCACAAGCTCTGATTACAAGAAAAAATATGGAATAGTATTGCAGCTTTTTAAATAATTAACGGGTGCCCCATAATAGATGGCCGGTTTTTACTCTTAATCTTTATAGTATCTGACAAGCTTTATTTAAAATCAAAATATGGCATAACATACAACATAGCTACTACTGTAACCTGCACAAAAAATGTTATCTAATATAAGCACCTTTTGTTTTCAAAATAGAAAAAAATCTACTTGACCAATTTTGAACACTGTGAAGGAGGCCATTTTTGGTACACGACTTACACCTTTTTTATTTCATCAATTAATGAATCATAGCTTTTGACTTTATTCCAATGCATATTATGACCTATAGCGTCCCACACATAATAATCAAGAACATTGTGGTCTGGACTATTAGGCGACCATTCTTTATCATCGATGAACCGAGGAAAAATTTTCTTAATCCATGCTATCGAATGTTTGTCCTTGTGTGGTGTTGCATTATCTTGTTGATAAATAAAACCATCACCTAATAATAGTTGACCTTCAGCTCGTGCATGTGGCAAAACAGTTTCAATATAATTTTCATGCGTTAGCGTTTCATTGGGCTCAAAAATAATTGGAAGCGAAAGACAAGTTTTCGATGCCACAAATCATAACATAAGTTTTTTTTGGAAACTTGGCCGTCGACTTTGTTCCTGTGTGTTCATCAGCGTCGTGTCGAGAGGAAGCATAAACACGCTCATTTTGGCGATTGAAAATGCTACCTAATTCGAAGTACTTTTCATCAGTAAATAAGATTTTCTTCTCGATCTTTTTTTCTAAAAAAACTTTCGTGCCCAATATGTAAATGATTCTCTTCGTTGTTTATGTTCATCATTTAGATTTGACTCAATTGTCACACGGTAAACATGTAAATGAAAATCCTCATGAATAATGCGACCAATTGTCTCCTTCGAAATACCAAGTGAATTAGCTAATTTCCTTGCACTTTGTGGACCTTTGTAAATAAACCTATTCTTGACTTTTCGAATAAAACGTTTTGTTAGTATAATTCTGGGTCTATCAGCAGGTGTTTTCAAATCAATTGTATCGGTGCTTCTATACAAATGTTGCCATCGTCTGACTGTTCGCTCACTGACCACTTTTCGTAGTTTAGCAATTTGTAGTGATGACACACCGTCATGAGCCATTCGCAGTACTACTTTTCGTATATCTTTAGACTTCATATTTAAATTCAATCTAAAAAGCACTTATCGAACTGATCTCTTGTATTTATGTAAATCTTGGACAGTCCAAATGCATGATGTATAAATAAGTGAAAAATATGTATAAGCTCTATATACTTTCATTGGTGAGAAAACCGACTATTTATTATGGGGCACCAGTTAGGTTCATAAAAACGTCAAATAAATGAATAAATGAAATGTGAATCAATTTTTGCAATTGATATGCGCGCTTTGAAGCTTTGTCATTTCGAAAATGTTTCGATTTACAGTTACCATTCTATCAATTTATTTCATCCGTCGAACATCATTATATGATAAAAACTTATTCATATTGTCAAAATCGAAAGCAATTTAATTTTAAGAAATTGCAATATTTTTTTCACCAGTTTTATTTTGTTCTTTTCAAGCATTAAAATTTAATGATTTAAACTTAAGAATTTATTCAAAAATACATCTTCAATGAATAATATCTTTTTTCATAGCGATAGTACATACGAAACATATTACGGGAAACGTGAAATATCAATTTAATCTCGATTTATTCGGTTTAAACAACATATTAACTTGCGGGTGTGGGTGACTATGGGCGTTTATGTGTGGGTCCATCGAGAATTTTACAGTAAGTCTCACACACACACACACACTCACACCCTCATTAAAGAATATTCTTATACGATCTTTGTTTGACTATCTAATTTTAAAAAATTCTGCTGGAGAGTTGCCCATACCCAATTGAGAAAATGTTTGATCCACGCTCAGTTTTTCACGCTCTTTCTAATGATGTAACTTTTATTGTATCTGCACGAAATAACAATATTTCCAGGGAGTTGATACACTTTTATATGAAGAAAACAACGTGATTGTAATATCAGACTATTTGTTTTCTCTTCCAAAAAAAAAGAGCGAAATATTCGCAGTGTTACCATTACAAACATTTTATTTATTTACTGTCTATTATGGTACTTGTGCGTATAATAAGTGCTTAGAATGATTAGAAAAACGAATATTTTTCTTTTGCAGTTGTATCTGAAAGTCTTAGCTCATTTAAAAGAAAATATACCTTATTTTATCAGATTATGTTTGTTCTTAATGCTATGTTGTATGGTCATTGTAATAGCAGCGTTGCGTTCTTTATTATCCAAGTTGATGGTGGGAACTTTACCACGAAGAAGAAATGTTATAACTAGAGATCGCAAGGAAAGGCGATATGTATTCAAGAATGTACAAAATTATCGCCTAACTTTTATCTTGGTAATATATTTATGTAATACGCTCAATGTAGTCATATTCGACACAATAAAAAGCTATCCCAGGTTGAACATCCCGGCCATCGGATCCCGTAGGATACTCCAGGGAATATGCGGGAAAGTCACCATATCCTGCAGGAAAACACGGGAAATCGCTGGAACTTG